GCCTTTGTTCTTGAAGGAGAGCAGATGCTCTGTAGACGAAAAGCCCAATTCAGGGAGGTCAGGGAGTGAAATGGGAAAATCCTGGGCTTCGAAGTCACAGTACCCAGTTCAAATCCTAGATCTCCTGTCTCATATCCTTGATCAAGTCATATAACCTCTCTGAGCCTCAGTTCCTTCTCTTGTAAATGGTAGACTATCTACTCCAGAATGTTGCCATGAGAAGTAAAGAAGGTAGTATGCTAAAGCACAGGAAGTATTGGACGACTTATAATGAAAAAAGGAATGGGATAAGCCATACGTTAAAGACAAAGGGGCAGAGGACATACTAGAGAAAACCAGTCACACATTCTCCCCCTTTAATTATTTCAGTGGACATATGTGTTGCAAGCTGGGTCAGGAGTTGGGGTGCAAACAACAAAAATATTAAGGAATTCGCCTCTCTCACAGAGCTGCTAGTTTGGTTGGGAGAGGCTTACAGAATGGAAGGCCTGGGCAAACCAAATGCCCAGAGCACTGGGGGAGAGGGCATGAGGGAGTAAGAGCAGGATAGGTGGTAATCTTCCTTGAATCACACCTCAACTGCATCCTCTGAGCCAGTTGTCAAGTCTGCTGATCTCTTCCTTGAAATATCTTATCACCATCACTTCCATAAATTATTTCATTCATCCAGGGATTAAGGTTTCCAGTTCGATTGACCAAAAGACTGGCTCCACAGACAGAGGCGAGGATGTTAGAGCACCGGCTTGACTGAAGATAGATAATAAATTTGTTTTTTAACATGTTGAATTTGTGAATCTTCACAAAGATTGTGAAGTTGAATGTTGAAATGGAAAAGTAAAATTGAACTGACTTTTTTAACAAGACTGGAAGCAACTTTGATACTAAAACATGAAATTCGAGAGATCAATCAAAATCAGAAAAAATTGAACTCTGTTATTCTCTTTTCTCCTTTGATGTGGAATAACTATGTCGGAAACTGAATACATTTGTATAATTTGTTTTCTTCAACTGGCATTATGGGGAATAACAAATGGACTTGTGACAGAAGTGTTATATAAGATTGTTAAACAAAAAAAGAGTAGAGAATGGAAAATGCGGGAAAACATGGGTAAATATTTTAGCTTCTTGGAGGTATGGTTGGGAAAGCTCTTACCCATTATGTAACTGGATGCTAAGAAAGGAGTTATGACCACCATAAATGATGGTGGGATGGTTCAAAGCAATATTTTAACTTGGAAGACGGTCTCCCCTCAGAGGGATTCCATACATAGAAACTGAAGGCACCCTGGCCAATGTGGCTCAGTTGGAGTATCATCCCGTGCACCCAAAGATTGTGGACTTGATTTCCATCAGGGCAGACACCCAGGTTGTGGGTTTGACCCCTGGTTTGGGCACACAGGACAAGACAGCTGATCAATGTTTCTCACATCGATGTTTCTCTCTTTCCCTTCCTCTCTCTCTAAAAGCAATGAAAAAATGTCCTCAGGTGAAGATAAAGAAAATTGAAGGAAAACTTCACTAAATCACTGTGCTTGTACCGTTCAGCCTCAAGGTTAATCTTGCCTAATTTCTTCTTAAAAGAAGAGTCCTGAAGATGCTTGCCATTTCTCAATTATTGGAGTACCCCTCACCCCCTCACCTTTTCGTTTCTCTCCCCTTTTATCTCCTCCCTCTTGTGCCTTATTGATAGCAACTATAAAGAAGTAGTTACAAAATGGTAATGAAACTTTTATTTGAAGCAGAGATCATTACATGGTTCGGGAAGTAAGGGGAAAAGGACTAAAATGAAGGCAACTCTAAGCTGTTAAAGAAAGAGATGAACATTAACAGCAACATCTTGATTTTGTTAAGATGCAAGCTGAAGCCATCTGAAACAGGCAGAGAACAAGGTGATAATAAGAGAAAATGTGTTTCTCAGACAAAAGAGCAGACAGCAGGGGACAGCAGTTCAGGGAAAGAGGCGAACGTGAAGGAAAGTGCAGAGAGGACACGCTAATCCTCTGCATCATACTGGCTGAAGCACGGGCTGTTTGAACTCCTTGGCAACTTCAGCGGGGTCTCAAAGATAGTGAAGAATGAGAACAAAAGAAAAGTTCACTCTGAGTTTCTCTTGTCAGATCAGGGGAAATTGCTTTGAGGCCAGCACTAGAAGATGCTAATGGTGGAAAGCAGAATCCAGTAAAACAAGAAAAAAAAGAAAGTCAGGTCATTGGGAGCTTGCCTCACATAAAGGAGGTAAAACCACCACTGACAAGACATTCAGCCAAGGTCCTACCACATACTGCTGTGAGAGTCACTTCTAACTAGTGCTCAGCAGGCTAAAATCTGCAGGTAATGTCTCAACTGCTCTGAGAATTTTCGCTCACTTGACAAACACTAATTGAGTTCTCTCTGTGTCAGCAAGGACTATCACTATTAATGCTGGAAGGTGCAATGGGAGCCCTTATGTCTTTGTGCCAACTGGTTTTGTGAGTCAGAAACGATCACTGGAAAGTGAGTACTGGGAAATCGCTGCTGACCATGGAAGGGCAGAGCTGAGAGGAAATAGGGTAAGATGTAGGACAGCCAAAGGGGTAACTGGAAAGAAGCACGTCTGTCTGACTCGTTAAGAGGAAAGGCACACCAATGGCTAGCCTTTCTTCTCCACGCCTGAGTTCTCATCCATAAAATAAATAGGTGATGCTTCCTTCTCTTTGGGCATTTTAGAATTGTTCTGGGAGTTGTGTGGGGATCTTGCCATGAAGTTGGGAGAACATGAGAATCTCTAACTGTAAGAATCTGTAATCAGCTGCAGGAACTGGAAAATACAGGTGCTTTTTTCCTACATTTTATGAGTCATTCAGAGTTTTAAACTGCTGAAAATGCCTTCCCTCCAGAATCTAACCCAAAGGTTGCAAGTTACATACATCTAGGTTTTGTTTGGCTAGCAGAATATTTTTTAAAAAATTGATCCAGCACTTAAAAATTGTGATATTTCACCTGAAAATCCAGAATTTTGGCCTCTCGGAGACTGGAAGACCTGACAGCACTGGGCCCACAACAGCCATGTGTGAGAGGGCGGCGGCTGCCGATTTAGATGGACACCTGCGCCGCCTCCAGCGTGGCCATCTCTTTACCCACGGTAAGGTAACTATACAACTTGTTGTCCGAACTAGGGCACTTTTGAGAGTAACAGAGGTGCTGTTAGTACTTATGCCTGGACCACAGACATAAACCAGGATCGTGTGGACAGTGAGGATGGATGGCTATCCTAATTCACATTGCTTGCTCTTCTTTGCTCAGTTTTTTGGGTATGTGGTCATCAGGCAGAGACTCTTGAGGAATAAGAGAGAGAAAGAGAACTGAAAGTAAAAAAAAAAAAAAGAAATGAAAAAGAATTTTTAAATGAATGTCAATTACACCAAACCTTCAGGTAGAGGCAGAGGCTTGCTGGTGGCTGGCTCAGCATGGAAGCCTGACCTTCCTGGCTCCCTGCCCTACGCAGCGCCCTCAGTTTTAATTAGCTGTGATCCCGCAGCTACGAGCAGGACTAATCAAACTGCAGAGAGCAGCCTGTTGCTAATCAGGAAGGTACAGGATAATCATTTAACTCTGTGGTTACTCAGTGAGCTCCAAGAGGCCTCAAAAGAAAAAAACATCCTGGGTAAGAGAGTTGCTTACACACTCTACTTTGACCTTTTGATGGTCTTTGTTTGAAATTTTTATTAAAATTCTTTAATTACACTAGTATTTGGTTTTAAAATATTTTTAAAGAATCTTTTCCCTTTATTCCCGGAGAATAATAAAATATTCCTCCCCCATGGCATGTAGGAAACCTCAGACTCCTGTTGCTGACCCAAGAGCGCATCTGAACCTACCACAGACCCAAACACTTTCAACATCATTCAGGGTGTGAGTGTTCCCCCAACTGGGGGTGAGAGGGATTCGGTGACATGGAATGGCAACTCACGTTGAGCACCCGCAGACCTGCAGAACTTCAGGTGACAGAGTGGCACTGTGGGCTACGCACGGCAGTGTCAGCTACTCTCTGTTAGAGGAGTGGAAGCGAGACTCGAGCTACAGCAAAGCTCCAGAAGCACCCTATACTTCAAAGGCCAGAAGGCCCCTCTGTTCAGTCCTTGTTTCTCTTAGTCCCTATAACCCAAGAGCAAGTCACAAAGTAAGAAGTTATTTAGTGTAATGGGTAGCTGTTGAGTTTTAGTCATATGGAGCCAAAGTCTAACTTGGGAGCTAACTAGTCCTAGGTAGATCCCTAGGTAAACTATTCAACCTTCCAGAAACTCCTGGTAGGCCGTCAGACAAGGTACTCAACCTTCCTGAAACTCAGTAACAGGAATAATATTAACACCTCACAGCCTTGCTCTGAGGATCAGTAAGATATACAGGGAAAGCATTCATTTACTGAGGTGCCTGTCACATTAAAAATGGTCCAAAGATTGTGCTTATTATTATTTTTAATTATGTGTTAGGCACGGCCTTAAGGTCCTGAATTACATAATTTAAAGTAACAGGTACATCTCTGAGTCTCCCTAGATTCTGCGTTTAGTGTGAGTGCACTTAAAAAAATGACTACGGATGGAATAAATGGAGAGGAATATTTTTCCAAAGAAGAACATTTCTGGTACCATGGAAATTTAACATTCTATTTAACAGATTCACTACTATTTACAGAAAACAATATAGTACATATTTTAGTTGAAATGTTTATTGGCTACAGATTTACACTACTAAAGAAACATTTGACTCTCTTTCATAAGTACCCTTGCCACTTATGGAGGAGGGATGTCATGGGAATGTCCACGAATTCCAAAATTTGTGAATTCCAAAACAGAATTCATGGACACGCCTATACCACTAATAAAAGAAAAACCTATAGATGGCCACCCAACACATAAAAATACAGAAACCACATAATTTTTAAAAATGTTTAGTAAGGCCCACTAAAATGAACAAAGAGCAAAATATAACACAATAATGCAAAACAAATATACACACTCCTACACACAAAACAAAGGCATCTTTTGGGTTTTGTTGTTATTTTTACAAAACTATGTATATACATGTCTGTGTATTTGTATCCTTATAGAAAATTTCATAAATATAGAAAAGCACACAAAAAAGTGAAAATCATCTGTCAGGCCAGCAGCACAGGTGTCACCCCTTTGACAGGAGCAGGGAAAACTCACGGAATCAGAGATGATCCGGAATGGTCTTTCCAGCCTCAGGATCTGCTAATGCCAATTCACCAACCGCTTCAAAATCCACAGGCCAAGCCTCTTTTTAGGCTCTCAAATATCTCTACTGTTGCCTGACTCCTGGCTGAATGTTTCATCAGGCCAATAGTGATAAATAAACAAGAATAAGTAAGGCTACGACTCTAATCTCAAAGTTTCTGTTCCCCAAATATTAGAGCTAGATGGAATCTTCAAAGTTCCTTCAGTCCTATCTACTATGTCTGTCTCCATTTATTCAGGAGAAAACAGGAATTAAAAGGTGAGTAGCACTGAAACCCTGTCCTCTAACTGCCAGTCCAAAGCTCTGTCCAAGTGAACACATGGTAAAGGACTCTCCCCAAGAGATGGAGCTCCAGTTATGTGGTCAGTCTATAAATGAACCTGCAGGGTGGATACAGTGGACCTGTACAACTAGATACAGCTAGGTCTAGGGAGACAAGTCATAAGTAGACCATGTAGCCAAATGAACGAGTGTGCGCTGGGGCAACCGGTCAGAGGAGTGACATGTGAGCCCCACTTTCCAGGGAGATGAGAGCCTGTTTAAGTCACAAGAGCCCTTTCTGACAGACTGTACTGCTGGGGCAGCTGGGAAGACAGAAGTGTCCAGAAGGGGCTCCTGAGAATATAAGAATTAAAGAAAACATCTGAATCAACTAGATTCCTTCTCCAGTCAATAGGCACGTGTCCACCAGGTCATGCTACTCATGACCAATCACCTCCCTTTAAGCTCCACTCCAACTCAGCGAACCCTCAGAATCTCATCACCGCCACTTCAAGGCTGTCTCTTCATCTCTGAAACTTCTGTCTTTGACTAAACAAATCTCTGTTGACTTTCAGCACTGAAATATTAAAGGTCATGGTTCAATTCTTTCTGATCAATCCAGATCACTTCAGTCTTTAGTGAAAAATCTCTTTGGCCTCATGTGGACACAATCTGGTACAGACATTCCTTACCTGAGCAGACCTTATTCTCAAATATAAATGATGAAAGCTAAGATCGTTTCTTGTTCTCTCCTTCCCACCTTACCACAGTGGCACTGGCTCAATGAGAGGTCAGATGTCTGTATGCCAGGTCTCAAGATGCTTGCCTGCGGATGAGCTCTTTCAACTGTGCCAGTCTGTCACTTTTTAGTGCTTCCCGGATAGAGTGGAAAAATCCAAAATAGTGTTCAAAGTTGTGTATCATAAGCAGGACCCCGGCCAACAGTTCACTGGTCACCAGCAAGTGGTGGATGTACGCACGAGTGTGGTTCTTACAGCAGTAACAGGGACACCCTCTCACCAATGGGTCAAAGTCCTCCTGGTACCTGAGGAAGGAAGTGAGAATGACATCCCAGAAAGCAAGGAATACAAGAACTCCACAACCTAGGCTATGTATTCTGCTGGTGCATAAGCAATATAGTAAAAACATCACTGGCAGATGTGCTGCCGGGCACCTGCTTAACATGGCAATGTGGTCCAAGTTAACGGAGCACAGTGAGCCAGGACACTCAGGAGTCCTCCTCTGCTAGACATAACTTCTTAGCCCGAGGCTTACAAAGGAGCAGCACAGAGTCCTGTGGTCACTCCTGCAGGTTGAGCACTACTGGTCGCACTGTAAAGGCACCTAATGTTAGGAAATGCTGTCGGATAGATACACATTTCTATTTGCCACCAGAACTAGTATCAGAAGACATGGTCCGACCTTTTACTTGCAAAGCTTTTTGCAGTTTACGAAGTACTTTTACATACACTTTCTCATTTAACCTTTTCAACAATCCTTGGAGAAAGGCATTTTTGTTGTCACTTAACCCAGGAAAATCACGAAGGGGTTAAGAGGGCTCTGAAGCTACAATGCCTGGTTTTGATTCCTGGCTCAGAGCTCACTTGGGCAAGTCACTTACCTGCCTCTGTCTTTGTTTTCTCACCTGTAACGCCTACCCTACAGAGCTGTTCCAAGGATTAAATGAGTTAGTATAGCAAAAGGCTTGGACACTGCTGAGCATGTACTAAGCACTATATATACATATATGTTACCTTTTATCAGCTATTAAAAGGAAGCCAAATGACTTGGCCAATGTCACTTAGGCATGAGCAGAGCTGGGATCCAAACTCCAAGTCTCTGTAACTTCGAGTCTACTGCTGATAATAAGAAAACTACAAAAACTACAGTTTCGAGCTAAATCTATAACATGTAGAAAATTTTAATAGTAACCAATTATACTACCCTAACATTTTAAAAATAGAAATGAGTCTCTTCCGCTATTTTTCAAGAAGTTAAACATCATTATTTCAGACCTACAATCAAGAAGCTCTTATAGAATAGATAAGAACTAGGATTTTCATATACTTTCATAAATTTTCAACTCTGTACTAGTACTAGATAGACATTAATAAGTCTGAATCTCTAGAATGCCCCTTCACATAAGGCCAAAAACACCCAAGCACTAAAGTGGGTGTACCAAAGTCAAAGGTAAACCATTTACTGGTTCACTGATGAGTATTGCTTTCAACCCAATACAAGCAAAGTTACGAGATATTCTAATTCATTCTTGATAGAGGAAAATACTTAAGATTCATAATCTGTATAGAACCCAGATGACTTAAGTTCCTTAAAATTAAAAAAATTTTGTTGCGCTTTATCTTGAAATCCTTATTTTGCTGTGTCATTATTAAAAGTAATTGGACAGAATAAAAAAACATCAAACATGGATTTGGTCTAATCTTTATGACAGCTCTCCTAAAACAATAGTTACCAGCCTCAATTTTATGATAAGACAAAGTATACAAACTCATCTGCAGAAAAAAAGACTTTCTAGAACTGAATTTGAAAGGGCCTAAATAATACCCAACTATAAAGATTTTATAACGTCACAAACTGAAAAGGGAACATTTATACAAACTATTAAAACAGACTGAAATGTACGTCAGAACTCAAAATAGAAACTTAAAAAAAAATTCCTTACCTTTTTTCTTTCAGGTTAATTTCAAATGGTGTCATTTCTTGGTCACAACTGGTAGTTTTAATTTTCTTTGTTTGATCCACATACTTTATTTCTTCCTGTACCCCATTTTGTTGTAATACTGAAGGACAGACCAACAAAAAGTCTTGAATGATGATCGGATAAAAAGTGGCCACTGGGAGAATTTTTAGTTACTATTTCATGCCCTTTTACCCTCTAATGCCACTCCTGAGAATTTACGGAAATGACACAAGAAAATAAGCAGGATGATCACTGACCTATTACCTATAAATCCATAATACCAAAATTTGGAGGTCCAACAATGTCTAAACAAATTATGGTCACAGGTATGTAACATGTAATCTTACTGCTAAGAAATGATTTTTAAAAACCAGTTAGTGTGTATGTATGTGCAAATAAATGTGTATGTATTGCAGTTACGTCTCATCATAATGTACATGCAAATTAACTGGGCTTTATAACTGCCTGTGTTCCAAAAAAATTATAAAAGTAGAACATTGTTTAGATTTATGTACTCTGTACGGAGACTCCAGTCCTCTGGGGAACTCAGGTAATCCAGAACTAAATGGGGATTTGAGTTGTTCCCTTGAACTCTTTGCTTTAAAAAAGAATGTTCCTGGAATTAAAAGAGAAATACTAGTTCTTTTGCAGAAAGTGAGCTGCCTTAAACAGGGGCAAGTAGGTAAGTATTTCTGGGAACAATTAATAACAATCTCAGGATTCTCCAAGGAGAATGGGCAAATGGTCCAGGAAGGTAATTTTGTCCAAGTCAAGGGACAAAGAGAAGCATGGCCTGGGCACTGAGCGCAGGGCTGTAATTTTGCCGCCACGAGTTTGCATGCTGACATGGGGACCCATAAAGCCCTGGCACTAGGGGGAACTACTGCCTACGCTGGGCAACTTATTCCTTTTTAATTTTCACATTGAATTTGGCAAAGGACTATAACTTACAAACATACACAAACGTGATTAATAATAACACTTCAATAAAAATGTTCAAACTCTTTCAAAATCTTAATCATAAAAAAACAGCTTTCTCTGGCCAAAAAGGAACTTGTTTGTTTCAGAGTACTCATTATCAGGTTCTTTTTCAGAGTTTTGCATATTCATGGTAAGAAATGACTAATAGTTACAGATGTCCTGGTGGAAATAATTAAGCTTGTAAATAAAGTTATAAACACTATAAAATGTTAATTTATGGTACATCCATTCACATACATTATATTCTGGTCTGTCTAGAGGTCAGTAAAGATGACTTCTTATATATAAAAATTTGACCAACCTGATTTAGTTTGTTTCCAGAAGTAATTCCATTCAGATTAATGGTTAAATTGCTTTATAAAACTGTAACATCTTCTGAATGAAACTTTGTGGGGAATAAAATGGACCTTTAAAGGAAGTCTCTAGCCCTAGTCAAATCCGAGGTTGGCGGTGACAGAGGACAATGCAACGGACAGCAGGAAGGGAGAAGACCTCACACCACCGAAGGCCTGAGGGAGCACTGCGCACGCAACGCTCTCCTGAAAAACTGGGTAGATGCTTCAAGCGACCCCAGCCCGAAGTGTGTATCCCAATTCCTTTACTACTGCCAGTTAAATGTCAGAATCTGAAACTGATCTTTCTTGACCTCTGAATAACTAAACAATAAAAGAAAATGGCAGTGCTTCAAAGGAATACTAGCAGAGGAAAATGGCTTTTACATCTCAGTGTGCAGACAAAGACAAAAAAAGCAAAAGTAACACTAGGATCAGAGAGGATGAGACTCCCTGTATTTTAATAGTACAAGGTTTGCAAAAAAGCAGACAAGAACTCTTCTGTGAAAAAACGAATTAACTTTTACCAAGCAGTTCAAAGGTTTTACTTTCTTAGATTTTCATCACTATTCACTCTGAATGGTCTTTTTCAGGTTGTTAATAAAAGAGGTTTTGTTTGGTTTGGGGTTTCTTTTTTTTTTTGCTTCTGCTCACTACAAAATTACTTCCTAATATTGATGAGTTATGTGTACAGTATTAAGTACCTGGGTTTTGTGGACGAACATGCCAGAGTGTACAGATAAGAAACAAAGATGGAGTTTTATAAACGGCTGGCTTCAGAATATGCACATATTTCTGGCCTGAATCACAAGCCAAAAATTGATAGGAAATAGAAGAAACTTAAGGATAGCACTGAGATTAACTTCAAAAGACCTACATGTCTCCTCAGGATTCGGCTGGTAATCAAAGCTGAAAGTCAGGGCACATCCCCGCTCTGCCACTTGATAAGGGAAAAAACTCTCAAACAAGTCCACTCCTCTTTCAATGCACTCAAGCACCTCATCTGGCCGGCTAACACCACAGATGAGCCTGTGAAAATAAGAACACTGACATGAGAACAATGCCAGGAATCAGAGAGTCTTTCCAGAGGGCATTGAAATAATAATGAAAACCATCGGTCCTCGCTGGCATGGCAGGCAGCAAGTAAGATGTGGTGGGAAGAACCTTTGCTTTTGGAGGCCAAAATCTGGGAGAAAATCCCAGTTCTGCTATTAATTTATGTGCTGTGTTCTTTGGGAAAATTTCTTACCCTCTCTGAGTTTTAGTTTTCTCATTTTAAAAATAAGAACAATAATACAAACTTCAGGACTAATGAGATATTTGAAGAAGCACACAGTGTATTTTCTGGTCCCAAAGAGAAATTCAATAAAGGTTAGTTTCCTTTCTGTTCTGATCCCTTCTGAACAACCTCCTTACTGAACTTAATAGCCTACCTGATCCACCACATAGACTTTTTAAGAGTGCAAAGGTGTGTGCTTTATTTCCCCCTCATGATTTAACTGTACTTTGCCTATAATTTTTTTTATAATTGGTCCCAGAAAGACATTTTTATCTACTGTGTTCTTCATAGGTTCATTTACAAAGTAACCCTTGCTCTCAGAATTTCAACTCTGCCCACTGAATCTAGGCATCTAGTTGGTTTTATTGATGCTTCCTCACATTTTCTCCATTAATAAATCATCTGCCTGGTGGAATGAGATGGTAATTTTTCAAGGACTGGGCAAGGCATTCTGAAAATATTAATAATACTCAACCAGGTTTTGCCACTAAAATAAGATGGGAAGGTGCCTGAGATCAGGCCTGATTGGCTACTATTTTTCATGTTTGTTTTTCTGCCCACATTTCCTTTTATGAACTGGCAGAGAAAAGCTTATAGACTCTCTGACTTCTATAAGAAGTCCCCAAAAAAGCTTATCTAATACCAAACAAATAGAACACTTAAATATATGCTGGTTTTTTTGACTACAGTTTCCTTCAAGTAATGTAATGTTTTAGGATTCCTCTTTGACTGAAGCTGGCATTTCTACACACAGAAGGAAAACTATTTCAGCTTTCAAATCCAGCGACAGACATCTGTGAGCACTTAACTCACCAAAGTCCAGAAAATGACTAGAAATACTAGCACTAAATTGTTATTTGTACCAGAATGAAATAGGAGGAGGAGCAGTGAACAGAGAGAACTAGGTTAAAATTGGGGCAAATGCTGCCACGATGAAAATATCTCATTCTGGCTGGTGTTTATACAAGTGTATACAAGCTCTTCATAAGTCATCAAGCTCTACATAAGATTCACACACTTTACTGCAAGTCATACCTGAATTTTTTTTTAAGTGGTAAAATTACATGCATTAGATACTATCCGACAGCCCAAAGGATATAAAGCAGCACCATGATCAAATCTCTTACTATATCTGTAGGAAAAAAGCATGAATATTCACACCAAGTGGGATAAAAGACCAGTCTTTTAAAAACAAAAATTAGAGTAGTCTAGTAAGACATCAGCTACACTCAGAAACTTGGGACTTTAAGCTCTGAATCTTGTAGATCATCACTTCTCACTGGCACATAGTTTTACTATGTGATTTATGGAAAAACAACATTTTGCTAAGTAAAACCTGTGATTTATGGAACACCACCACCTCGCTAGAGTTGCCCATCCCCTCAATTTCAAAAAATCATACCACTGCCTCAAATCTAAGAACTTCATAAAGGTCCTTACTAACAGCACCTATCTTCATTCTGCGGGCATCCTAGATCTATCTTCAACTTGCTTTAAGTAAGGAGAGTTCCACATGACTTCATATCTGTACCCATAAACCACGTTATTGAAAACGAATACAGAATAGTACTTGTATTTGGCACAAGTATAGGGGAAACAGTATGACACTTGCTCTCACTTAGAATGAGCATCAGATAAACTAATTCATATGGCAACTGTCCTCTGGTCTGGTCTCCATTCAGAAACCAAGAACAGGACAGCCTTGATGGAAACTCCCGCTATGGTCGGCCATAGCAGACCCAACCTAGAAAGAACACAATCAAAACATCAAAAGACATGCCCATAGACTGCATAATACCCAACCCCCAGCACTCCTGTTCTGCAGCCCATGACACATGGGCAGCATCCTAACTCAACACTAGCCTCGGTCTGTCTTCCGGTAGCACTGAGGTAACTGATGACAGCAAGTTCAGTCTAGTCTCCAGAGTTGTTGGATTCCCTTGAAAGCCATCCAGAAGGAAACCGCCTACAGGCCGCTTGGCTGTCTCTCGTGCTGACCTCAGCCTCTCCTCCATCACGTCTCCACCTTCAATCACACCAATGATCGTACTTTTCTGGAGGACCTAAGGAAAAAAAGGATAGAATATTTTTAACCATTTCCAATACCTTGGGTGTCCAATCCATGGCCAGGGGGCCGTACGCAACCCAGGATAGCTATGAATGCTGCCCAACACAAAATTGTAAATTTACTTAAAACCTTTTTTTTGCTCATCAGTTTTTGTTAGTATTTGTGTATTTAACATGTGTCCTAAGACAACTCTTATTCTTCCAGTGTGGCCCAGAGACGCCAAAAGGTTGGATACCCCTAAAAAGAAATGAACCCTACACATGGCCATGGAGAGATAGTTCAGTTGTTTAGAGCATCGTCCTGATGTGCCAAGGTTGCAGGTTTGATCCCTGGTCAGGGAACATACAAGAATCAACAGATGAATGTATAAATAAGCGGAACAACAAATCGATGTTTTTCTCCCTTTTTCTCTCTCCCCCATCCCACCCCTCTCTCTCTCTCTCTTCCTCTCTCTCTCTCTCTCTCTATATATACATATATATCCCTTTCTCTCTTTAAAAAATAAATTTTTTTAAAAAAAACATACATTGATGTTTTTCTTTCTCCCTCCCTTCCCCTCTGTCTAAAAATAAATGTTTTTTAAATCTAAAAAAATATATTTTATTTATTTTTTAGAGAGAGGGTAAAGGAGGGAAGAAGAGAGAGAAACATCAATGTGTAATAGAAACATCAAACAGTTGCCTCTCGCACACCCCCCAACCAGGGACCTGGTCCACAACCCAGACATGTGCCCTGTCTGGCAACCTTTCAGTTCACAGGCTGGTGCTCAACCCACTCAGCCACACCAGCCAGGGCAATTAATAAATTTCAAAAAAAACCAAAAATGATCCTTACACAGAAGTTCAGTGGAGCTGCTATAGCTGGAGCATGCAGGGAAATGGTGCTCCCTCTGCCCTGAGAACTCTTGGGGCTCCAAAGAACACAATTTGAAAGCCACCCAAATAGGTAAGAAAAGACTGAGGAGAAACTGAGGCAATCAACATACACAGCCATGCTTTAGCTTGGATTAAATTAAATGTACACTGAGCAGGTACAAGGAAAAGTATAACAGAAGAGTTTCAATTTGTTTACATGACTATCCAGGCCTGCTTGAGATCACCGCCAAGTCTCTTGGAAACAACTTTAGGAACTTCAAAACTATTCGACTGGAACAACTGACATCCATTTGGGAAAAAAAAACCAAAAACAAAATACTAGTTGCACACCACCCTCAAAAGTAAATTTAAACATAAAAATATAATTATTTAAGTATTAGAGGAATATACTGAATCTTTTTATAATTTGGCATAAGGAAGGGCTTCCTAAGCAACCTAAAACTTAGAGGAAAAGGCCAACATATTTGAGTACAAAAACATTAAAACTTCTCTAATGAAATACACTATCAACAAGGGCAAAGGAGAACTTGCTCTTTGGAGGAATAGGTAAATATCTACGCCATAGAAAAAGCTCCAAAAATCTTCTAAGGAAATGACAGCTCTATGGAAATCGAGGTGGATATGTGAATATGAACTTCAGAAAAATAAATGTAAATGCCGTGTGTGTGCATGTGTGTGTGTATGGACAGCTCACTAAACTACACCAGTAAGGAAAGGCAAACTGGGAACAATTAGATACCATACTGTACAGTGAAAGTGGTAAATGAACTTACATACTCCAATAGCTGAAGATTAAGAATTACTTCAGCTTCATGGGAGGGCATGTGCACAACACTTATCACAATGTCAGTGTTTTTATCTTTATATCCTAAAATTCAAGATTATGCTGGAGACAGTTAGGGGCTCCTGAGTGGAAAGGGGACTAAGATCCATAAGATGAGAGGGAACCAAATGAACATCATAGCAGCAGCTTCACAGTGTGTTGAGGACATATCCTAAAATTCCACTTCTATAAATTTCTCTTATAAATATATTTACAAGGAGTTTTAAGATATTATTAAACAAAAGCCAATTTCTATACAACTGATTAGTTATCCAAGGGGAGGATGAAGACAGTCAAGGATGATTCCTGGCTCCTGTTTTGGAAGTCCAAGGAGATGGTGAAAAGAGCACACAGGGAATCCTCAAAAAATAGTAAGACCTCTCTCTTCCTGCTGTACCCAGGCACAGCAACAAGCACCTCGAGATGAAATCCACTTGCCATCCCTGGCGTACGGAATACATGAAGAAGAAAAGAAAGCCAACAACAGAACCTGGGGGAGCTTCAATATTTAAAGGCATTTAGAATAAGAGGATCCAGTGAATAAGTGGGGAGGAATCACAGGAAAAGGAAAAGATGTATGCAGGCATACCAAGCACACAGTTGCACAGCCTCGCTCTTTTGCACGACTGGCACAGCCCTATCTTGGAAACTCCTTTTCATGGGTGTAAAAAGTATGATCATATACAGCTTGTCGTCTAAAATGGAACACACTGAAGAGTAAAAGGGGCACTATCAATAATCATATGAAGACAACAGCATAAACGTAACGGGTGCAGAGAGGAACAGCAGCATTTGACCCACACACAGATATAGTGTGACATGGTGAGACTGACTGTAAATTAGAAGGGGGACTTGAGGTTCATCTGGCCTTTCTAATAATCATGTTCTGTCATACGCTGTCCTCTTTACTATTTACCAAACGTTATTTACCCTATAGGGATAATCACTGACTCAACACAATGGCCAGTGAGCAACACTAAAAATTTAGTCCCACTACAAGTGTCCCCAGGCTGAACTCTTATTGCAGATACTGAGACTTCTATTCAAAATGACAACTAAGTTTCCTCTAATTATTTCATGCATATTAACTTCATTAGTGAAATTGTATCTTTATTACTAAACTCAGATAACAATGTTCCTCAGAACAAATGCGCTTGCCATTGTGGGACCTGACCACTGCTCAGGGTGACTCCACATAAGTCATCACAGGCACCGATTCTCCCCTCTGCTCACTACCTTCTGTTCTCCTACCGCCTCTGCTTTCTTCTAGTGAATGCGTCCTTTTCCAACTTCATTAACCCCGCTATCAGGAGCCCTTATTTATTGTTACAGTTTCTTCCCCACCCCATGAGGACTACTCACCATCAGCAATCATTTACTGAGGGCTTACAATGTGTCCAGAAATTTTGCTACATGGTGAAGATACAAAAATGACATACAGAAATTGAGCTTAAGGAGGTCAAAATTTAATACAGACAAACAGACCAATCATTGCAGTATAATATCATTAGGGCTATAATATAGCTACATACAAATGAAAGGGGTGGCAAAGGATGAAAAGAACTTCCTGGAAGACTCAGGTCAATTTCCTAGAATAAACAATGGAATTAAATGAGCCAATCAGGAAGCAAGAGGGGAAAAATGGCTGAGGATTAAAAAAAAGAAAAAAGAAAAAAGAAACAATCCAGAAAGAAGTCTGTGTACAGGCACAGTGACATGAAATAGGATAACACCTCAGGGAACTGCAAGTAACTCAGAAGGGGCAGAGTGCCAACCAAGGAGAAAGGAGGTCACACCGGGCAGGGGAAGAGGTGAAGGCCAGGTCTCTGCTGGCCGTCCATGCCATCTTAAAGTACAAGTGGAAAACCACTAAGTTCTTTTAAGAAAGTAGGCAACAAGTTCATATTTGTGCTTTACCGATAGCAGGGTTGAAGCTAGGTTGGGTGGAAAGGAGAACAGAGCCATAAAGAACAATTAAAAGGTATTTGTCTACATAAGAGATGCTGAGGCTGTGATGCCTTAAGGTGGGTGGTAAGGGTGATGTGGGGTAAGATTCTAGATATATTTAAGGAGATAGAATCAAAAAGAAGTGAATATTGGAGATTAAATCAGATATAAAAGGAGTCTTGAAAGACTCAAAATTCTGGGCTAAGGAACTTGGTAGCTGCTAAAAATTGAGACAGAGTATTGAGGGAGAACAAAAGGAAGCAGAGGATCAAAGAAATAAGATTCAGAGTTTAAGGTGCATATGAGGGATTATTTTAGTGACAGAACCTAGTGAAATCCCTGTAGTTATGTAATTCTGAAGCTAAGCAGAGTGACCTTGATTGTACCTACAATTTTAGAACCATTCTGCAGTAAAAAGTAAGGGGCAACTGCCTAGTGAGAACGTATACAGTGGGATGCAATGAGAGCTTTAGACAGAATCCTAGAGAGCAATAATACTTGATGGTTCAGGAAAAAAAGATAGGAGAGCATAACAGAGAACAAGAAATGAGGAGCAGAGAGGTATCATGGAATCTCAGTGAGAGTTTCAAAGAAAAAGCAGTAGTGAGATGTACAGCTTTACCTCTGACTCTTCCTGTGCACGCAGACAATGATCCAGGAATAGAAGCGATCGGTCAACAGACTTTCTGACTCTTTTTATGGAAGTTCCTTCTGCACAAGATGCTTCTCCATCTGAGAGGCACTGGAACCAGTCTGGCTGAAGAGCCTGCTGAATTGCCATGAACTTGGAAACAGTCATTTCTACTCGTCCTCCAACACCCCACACAGACACAGACTGCCAAGGAACAAGATGATGGGGAGTTAGCAAGAGTAAAATGCAAATAAAAAGAAAATAATAAAATGCTAAAGTAATTCTGAATTTAATTCTTCTTTACAACTATAGAGATGGTAGCAAGTCAATATCCTCGACATGGTGAATAAAAGAGGTTTCCTATACTATATTCCAAATTCTCTAAGAACCTTATAGCTCATAGAGGATCCCTTAGTGGCCATACAAGTCAACTTCTGAGCTTGCCCCCAAGAATCCTTTGTTATACTTCTTTCGAAACCCAGTCTTTCAGTCTCCCCTACCCACAGCCCACGCTACTCATGCTGTTCTTGAATATACTGCAGGCTTTGATTTTTCTCTGATCACACTGTTTTAACTGAAATACCCCTCCCCTACATCTCTGCGTGGTAAAATACTATGCACACTTCAAGACATGAGTTCAAATATCACCTACTCTAATGTGTTCCCCAAATTTTCCCTGGTGTAAATCACCTGCTCCCCCTTCTAAGTTCTTTCAGAAACTTGTACTGACTTTTTTATGGAAATGGTAACCCTTAGCATACCATTGTATGTTTGTCTCACTAGAGTATCCCAATTCGTGTTTGCACCCCAAAAGCAGAGTCTAGGTTCTCACACATAACAAGTATTTACCAAGTTGACTTAGGTGCAGTATTATGTGCTAAGACATAAATCCCATAGTACACAAGGCTCTCTGCATGTTCCTTTGGTTACTTTCTCCTATAGCATCTTCTTAGAAGAGACTGACAAGGACATAGATGGGGAGGTGACATACCGTCTTTATTTTGGCATAATAACGCTATTTAAAGGAATCCTCTCTGCCCTGTAAATGGGGTAGGATAGCTGATATAAAAAATATTTTCTTCTGAATATATATTACAAAATAAAAAGAAGTTTAAAGCAGGAGGGGAATTTAAAATAGTAATCTTAGATAAGATTAATAGATACTACTGACATCAATAACGTGGGTACAGGAAAAGAAACTGCCCTTGTAAAGTAGCAGTATATACAGGAGTGGGCAAAAGGAGGTTTATAGTTGTTCGTATGGAAACATATAATACAAGAATAAGTAATAACACAAGAATAAACTCTGTGTTTCACGAACTCACAACTATAGACCTCCCTTTGCCCCAAAGCCGCCCCCCAAAGCCTTGCCAGAATGCCATCTCCAAGGGCAGTGCAATGAATGAGGTCATGGCTCCGGTGAAAACTTTTAGTGAAGTCCTTTTGATACTGTTCTTCACTAGCTAAAAATCTCTGGCTGTGGACCCAGCTTTTTCAAATCCTGTTCTAAAAACAAGCAGTATTACACTGAGGTTCTACTATGTATAGTTGTACATATGATAATACCCATTACCAACTTTCCCTACTCTTCCTGAGGTTGTTAAAACTGCAAATAAAGCTGGCATCAAAGACTATTGTTTTCTACAATCATAGCAATTTCTTTTTTTGGAATTTACTTAACCCTTTTCCAACTCCAAATTTTTGCAACAATGAAAAAGCTGAAAATACATTCCTTACCTTAACCCCATCCTCAGGCAGACTGCCTTTAACGCCTATAAACCACCCCAACCCACTGTGTTCATAGAAATAAATAGAAGGAAAACAAGGTCAGGAATGGGCCAACATCCCAGGCAGTAGGACCCTGGTATTTGAGGGATACAATAAGCTGTCTTCCTGGGACAAAGCTGCAGCCTTGGAGGAACTTCTGAGCACATACCTTGTTTGTTACATAACCAGCTGGGCAGGGGTTGACTGGATCATGCAGAGAGCAGTAGAAGAGAGACTCTGGCATGCCTGTATAAACATGAAAAGGAACCCCTGAAAGCACGTACGTCAACAACTGCACTGCACTGTAACGGAGAGCAGCCTCACAATGTGTACTGCTAGATAAAGCAACACTAAGCACAGTGGATTACTCACACCCGATCTTAGAACTATAGGAGGCCTATCAATGCGAATGAAAAGATTACTTTGAAACTTACTAATATAAAAGAACAATTAACTGTAAGGGTTCATTTCTAATGGCACAATAAGTTGCTACAAGGGGAAAACATATCTTAAAGTATGAGATACATCAAAGTGTTTAATGTCATGTTGACCTGATTCAACTTGCTTTGAAGAAGAATTTAGTATCAAGTATGTTCATTAGAGGTACTATGCAAGGGAACTAGCTCCTGGAAAGATGAAATAATATAACCAAAAGGTGATCTCATTAATAATAAAGCCATCCCACATCATGAGTCCCTAGTGGCAGAATTAAATGGAAGCTATAGGACAGTGCATTTCAGTGACTCGAGATGACAGTTTCTTAGGTTCTTTAGTCAAAAAGATAGTTGCTTTAAAAAAAATACTCAAAAAATGCTTAACAAACCATATGTACATAAATTTCATATACTATCCTGGGGATCCTGCATTTTCATAAGAAAAAAAAATTAGAATTTCATTGAAAAAAGACCAAAAAAATCAAATTAAAAAAAAATCTCTGCAGCTCTCCACCTTATTTTCCACAATTTCAATTACTACAATTATCTGTAGAAAGCTTATATTAGCTATTTTCACTAAATTATATGCTTGTATTCTTTAAAGCTAGTTATTAAAATTGGTCTCAGATCAAGAAAAAAGATATTACATAAATTCCTCTACTGAAATAGAATCTTGTGACAACCAAGTAAGTCATCATGCAGTGTTTTTTCTCAGAAGCAGACTGAATAACCAATGGAGACAGAATTCTCACGTAAGTGGGTCTTAGATATTAGAAAAAGCTTCAGGAGAAGGTGGTCTACAGAATTTGTTCTCTAGCTGCCACTGCTAAGCCTTTCCTATAAATAAGTGGACATACACATCTGCATTTAAAAATCTTATTTCTGGAACAAAAGATAACATTAACCTATCAGAATATAGCAATATTTAAACACTTTGTCTTCTACCTTATGTTTCAGGCTCCAACATGACAACACTACTTTGGCGCTTAGGGATGTCCCATGCAGCGTTCACCTCTGGGTCTTTGCTCTATGTCTGCAATATCTGCTCACACTTGTCTACCACCACCACCTGCTGACCTGGCTAATTCCCACTCTTGTTTGACCCAGTTAAGGTGCCCCTTCATCTTCTCAAAAATTCTTTCTTCATTTTGATCTCCTTCCACATGTACCCTACAGCAGGTTACAAGTGTTTCTCCCCCTGACTCTCATGATACATGTGTATATCCCTAACCCTGCAAATGTAATCACTGCACTCTACAAGAATTACATATTTATCTTTATCCCAACTAGGCTCTGGGTTCCATGAGGGCAGCAACTGTATCCTACTTATCTTAGAATCTCTAGCGCCTGGTTCTTAAATGATCAATAAATGCTTACTAAATTAATGAGTAAGTAAATGTATGAATGAAAGATCAAAGAATAAGCAAATGGCGCCCTGGCTGGTATGGTTCAGTGGACTGAGCACTGGCCTGCGAACCAAAGGGTCACCGGTTCGATTCTGGGTTGCAGGCCAGGTCCCCAGTAGGGGGCACACAAAAGGCAACCACACACATGTTTCTCTCCCTCTCCCCGCTTCTGCCTAAAATTAAATAAATAAAATCTTAAAAAACAAACAGCACCTCCAAACTCCAAATTAATTTATCACAAGGCACAAACAACTAACTTAATTTTACCTATAAACTTCCCAACTCCTTCCTTATATTCTGTCAAGACTTCATGATGTTCTGCCCTGTAAGTAAAACAGAAAAATATATAACATAATAATGGATCATCCTACAGATACTCTCTACAACTGAAGACCTCTGCTCACCCAAACAAGCTACGTGACAATCAATGTAGTCTTGAACAACAAATACACCATTACTCAAAAGTCCCAACTCACCAGGCTAGGTTCATTTAGCCAGAGTAAAGTTTTCAATCTGCAAGTGGTACGGGGAGAAGAGAAACTGGCAAAGTTCAACTGCTCCAGTATATCTGGATTTTCTTCCTCTCCTTGCCACTTCAAAACCAGTTTATCATTCACACAATACTGAAGAGTCACTTCATCATATAGCAGACTGTTCAATTAAGGATAGAATCAATATGCACATTACACGAAATGATCTAACTCCATTAGTTCTGTTTCTATAAGTAGTATATGCAAGTATATGTGCAGAGACAAGAGAAATCTTTGAGGCATGTGCATGAAGGCAGGCGGTAGGCTCCAAGTTTAGCTCTGTCACCCCTGGGAGCACTGGCAATGAGGGCAGGATGGAACCTTGGGTTCAGAGGAAAAATGAAGCAGCTTTAACATGTAGGCCTGGCCCATGGCTTCCAGATTAGGGCCAGATGATGTATAATATTTGATACATTTCTTCTGATTTCATTCTAAAAACCTACAAGTTTTATGTATGCAAGCAAAAAAAGTCTTTTCCTTTACTGTACCTTAATTAAGGTAACTAAGCTGATGCCAAAGTTGAAACTTGAATGGCTGGCTCTAATACTTACAGTGAGGACAGGGTAAGCTGAGCCATGGCAGGCACGCCGTGGATATTATGCAGGGTGTGATGGGTCAGGTGTGGGGCAGAGCCAGTCTTGGTGTACAGAAGGCAGCCTGGGATGTCCATGGTGCGGTCCCCTGCTTTGCCTAGGTTTTTTATTTTTCCTAGGCGACAGCCATTAGCTACCTTGGTAAGACTCAGCTTCATGTTGAGGGATTCTTTCAGGTCCTGATAAGAAAAGAGCATTAAATTCATAAGTTTTACAACATCTAAAGGCTAAACATTTGCAAAGATAGCAACCTACAACAAAATAAATGATAGGTTATTTATTACCACTTCCAGTCTAGGATTTTTTTAGATATCAGGAATAGGAGAATGGGAAAAGACATGGAGAGAATAAGGCACTTTCCCCAAAGTCCCAGAGCAGCATGACATCTACCACATTTAAATTCAGGCATGGAATTTTTGTCTGACCTGATGAAATCCAAACAAACAGAAGGGTGGAAGTGAAGACTAACCATAGAAAGAGTGCTATGAAGCCAAGGCGTGTAAAAAAACGTGTAAAGAAAATTCATACTGCTTAGGAAATACTGATTATTAATTTGATCCATTTTTGTTTCTCTAACTTAAGAGAATACTAGGCAACACAGCAATTTTGTCTAATACGTAGTTAAAAGAAGAAAATGGGTTCCAAAACAGTATTCTGGTGTTTATTAAAATATGTGAAAGAATATCCATCAAAAGATAAACATAGAGACTATATCTGAGAGATTATTTTCCAATTTGTTCTTACCTGGTGTTCAAGTAGAGGTGAGAAATGGTGTTGAGCATACATGTAACTGATAAGCCGTTTAGCATTACTTTTATAAATGGTAAGTAAAAATATTTGATAAAAGAAAAAAATAAGATATACTTTGTAACTTCCATAGATACACTGAGGAAAAAAATCAGAAAACATTATTAATTGCTTTGTTGGATGCTGTTAATTATTATTTAGTGAAGCAAATCCTGACCTCCACCTCAAATACACTACAAAATTTGGTAACCAGGCATGGCAGATGATGTACAAAATGTCACTGGATACACCAGCATTTTATAAATACCAGTATATCTACAGTAGGTACCATACCCTCTGGAATTCTTGCCAATGCAGTTAGGCCCAATTTTATTAGCAGTAAGTTATTACAGCTATTTAGAGTCTCCAACCTTAGGTCCTGTTCTCTTAAGCATTATACGGTAACACACACCGAAGGTCAACCACTGTTTAAGACATTACCAAACAAATAAGCATTATATATCATTAGTTAAAAAATATTTAGGAATGTTACTATTACTTTTTTGGGAGTCATAAATTCTTATTGAAATAGCCAATAAAGTCTTTAGAATTTTAGAAATAAGAATAACCACTTTCTGCATAGTTCAATAAAAAAAAAAAAATTCACGCTAAAAATGAATTATTAAAAAAAGAGCCTCTGCTGGTGTGGCTCCGGGGATTGAATGCTGGCCTGTGAACCAAAGGGTCGCTGGTTCAATTCCCAGTCAGGGTACATGCCTGGGTTGTCCGCCAGATTCCCAGTTGGGGGGTACAAGAGGCAACCAATCAATGTATCTCTCACATTCTGATGTTTCTCTCCCTCTTTCTCTCTCTTCTTTCCTCTCTCTAAAAATAAATAAATAAAACCTTTAAAAAGTAATAAGTGTTTGGGGAAAACCTGGCCCATTTTCTACAACTCCAACTTCAATATTTCAAATTATCACAAAGTAGGAGTAAAAATAAGTATCAGTGAAACCCACAGAATTGGAGACTACTAAGAGGAAAAACTTATGCTTTAACAAAGAGTAACATAAAAGCTATTTTTAAAAATCTGTTATTACACATTAAAAATAAGTTTATACCCCCCAAATTATACAAACATAAATTATTTTTTAAGATTTTATTTATTTATTTTTCAAAAGAGGGAGGAAGAAAAAAAGGGAGAGAAACATCGATGTGAAAGAGACACACTGATTGGTTGCCTCTCGTACCCATCCCAACCAGGGACCAAACCCACAACACAGGCATGTGCCCTGACTGGGAACTGAACTGATGACCTTTTGCTTTGTGGGACAACACCCGATAGAGCCACACCAGTCAGGGAAAATATAAATTATTTTTGTATAATTTACATAAATTATAATAAGAACATACTTTAGAAAATATAAGTCATTAGTTTACACAACCATATTCCTTATTGATTCATCAGGTAATACGCATAACCTGATTTCAAGTGATAAAAGTATACTTAAACTAACAACGCTGAAGCCACTATAGCAAAGTTAAAAACTGCATTTTGCAATCTACAGAAGTTCTAGAGAATTGAATCAGGGGAGGCAAAAAGATGAGAAATGCACTTTTAAAGTTAGTGAATCAATGTCTGATCCACTGTGACTGAATACTAGAATCAACCAAATACAAGATTTTGAAACATAAATAAGAACTAATGGAAGATTTCTATAGTCTAGAATTTTTCAGAAAGGGCCAGAGAAAAGAATTTGCTGGCTCCTCTCCTTATTCCAAATATTCAGCATCATCTGTCATATTTAAGTCTCGTAAAGAATTTATATGTATGCACGTGAGTTGTATTTTTAAAATTAAATTCATACACACTCTACAAGTTTTGTATGTGCACAGAAAAAAGTCAGAATGACTTCTAAACATATGGTGCTCGAAGCTAACTCAGAGAGAAAAAGAGAAATAATAGACTCTGAAATTGTAGAATACAGTAACTGAAAATAAGACTACTTGAAGTAGAGTATTTTAAAATCCTCACATTATTTGGGAGGAGAAAGACAATGAATAGTGTTAAACTTTAAGTGTGTTTTAAAATTTTTTAAAGCAACCATTAAAAGACTAATGACAGAATGCCTAATTTCCAAACCCATTGTGGAGGGGCAGGAGAGAATAAGAAAAATCGGTTAATACAATAAAGGGCAAGAAAGTGGAAAACAGACCAAAAATAGAAAATACAAAATAAGATTGTAGAAGTAAGTCCAAATATGGTAGTAATCACAATAAAATTTATCAAGTTAATTTCACCTATTTAAAGACAATGACAATAGTAGCAAATAGCATTTGTCGGGCATTTACTATGTATCAAGTACTCCAAATTAACTCCACTAATATCTATCATCATATATACCTCATAAGACAGATGCTATTATTATGTGCATTTAACAGATGAGAAAACTGAAACTAATAAAGGCACCGTACAGAAAGAGGCAGGGCCAAGACTTAAATCATTGATGTCTGGCTTTAGAGGCTGTACTCTTACAGGCTGGTAGCCTGTTAGAAGTCCCAAATGTTGTCCATAAGCACATGCAATATTTATTTATTAACTCTAAATAAATATTTATGTTAAGATACAATTTTATATTCTTATATTCCATATTGCTATAGTGTTATTATTGTTCTTCTTTTACCTTATCTCCCTTTTCAGTCTCTGTCCATCTTCCCAGCAGTCTCTACAAACTTTCTCCTCTCATACATTTAAACATATTTGTATATGGGAATGGGTGGGTGTATTTTTTAAAGGGAACATACTGTACGCACTTCTCTGTAATTTGCTTTCCTCCCCAGGAATAAACAATGGTTATCTTTCCTGAAGAAGACACATAGAGCTAACAGACTCTTTATAAATAATTACTTCATGACATTGCATGGCTTGGATGTAACACAATTTAATCAACTATCACCCTTCTGGTGGATAATGAAGACATTGCGCAGGTCCTAAGATCGCTGCAAAAAGTCTGCAGGCACAGCTTCCCTGATCTCATTTTCGCCCATCTCTAGTCTAGTTTAGTTTACATTTCCTAGCAGAGTTCTACCACACTCTAGTGATTTAGGTACCATCTCCCCCATTTTGCCGATGGGTCCGAGAGTAAGTTGCCTGAGGTCATATAGCCACAACGTAGCTGGGTCCTAAGCTCCTGCTCTAAGTATCTACCCTGCCTTATGTACCCCAGTGTTCCAGAAAGGACTGCCCACGGAAACATCTAACCCTAGTCGATAAGGATTTATAGTCACTCCATAAGCCATCTCCCAGGGTCCCAGGCCTTGGGAAGCGCTGAGATCAGGGATTTGAGATCGTCCCAATCCTCTCGAGTACCCTGGGAAGTCCGGGGGCAAAAAACTTCCGGCTAACAACTTGACCCTTAAGCAGATGCCAGTCAAAAGAAGCCCCCTTTCACTCAGAAATGCGGTGACGCTCACACCATCTGGGAGAATGTGGACTTACCGTAGCCACCAGGAGACAGAGGAAAAAAAGAAGAGACGGTGGGAGTACTATCACAGCTAGCCTAACACAACCAGGAAGCCTCTGGGTGCGACGCGACTCATCCACCCGTGGTAGCCCCCATACCATTAGGGAGAGAGGGTACTTACTTACAAACCTCCCAACGCTTATGGCCTTCAGACCCCTTAAAATCCCCGCAGTTGGCTCCCACGTGTCCTGCCGGCAGAATTCTGGGCCTCCTAAACCACCGCCTCTGCAGCAGAGCCAATCAGGAAGCATTGCGTCATCACTGGGCGCCAGTAAAAGGGAAAAGGTAATCTCAAGGCGAACTTTGTTGACAGCGTGGACGGGGAGACCGCTGTGGTTGCCAAGGGTAACTGAGCTAACGCAATCTGCTAGCGCAAAGCCTCCTGGGAGTGGTGGTTTGTAGGCCTCCCCCATAGCTGTCTTCCTGAGAGCGGAGGAACTACAATTCCCAGGGAGCTCCAAGAGCAGCCTGGGCAAAAAAGCGGCTCTTTTCAGCTTCGGCCGAGGACCGGGCCTGAACCTGGAAAATGCAGCTGGCGCCCAGAGAAGGGTCCTCCTCAAGGAAGAGGGCCTGGCGGAATCGCTGGAAACAATTTACAAGGAAGCAGAGTCCCAAGGTGATCCATCCCAATCGGGAGTTCTGGGAGGTCGGGGACCGGTCCCGCCTGTGCTTCCTCCCTCTTGCACCAAGAGCATCCTTACCTGGCCCGCCTTTGCCTTTACTGTCCTGGAGCCAGCGTTGCCCTGGTAAAGGGGGCCTAGAAATTTTGGAGTCTGGGTAACTTCCAGCTTTGGTGGGCAGCCTCCTGGAAGAACTGTTTACATCTAACGGTTTGTACAAAACGGAGAGGTCTGGTAGTACCCGCCTGGTAGGAGAGAATTCACAAACTCTTTGGCCTCCTTACTTACTGCCACCCCTACAATTTTAGCGAAGTTCCCGCACACGATTTTTATTTTTTATGTTTTGCAAGTCTTGGAGAACTAATCTTATTGGAAGGAGAAGATCTGCCCGTTAAGTTCTCTGCCTCATCCCTACCCCTCTAATTTTACCCAAAATATTTTAAAAGAGCTCAGAAATGCAAGTGGATACTGAATATATCAATATTTGATTCACCTGAAAATTTATGAATTCAACCAACATTTAAAAATTAGACCCTCTTTATATTTGTTCCCTACTTTGATGCATTAACATCCAAAGCATGGAAAACGTAACACCATTTTTCAGCTTGAAATATATATAAATGACATGAGCAAAGTCGGTCACACGATGTATGCTTTCCACAGACTACCTTTTTAACAGTCACAAAAATAAATGTTTTAAATGTAAGTGAGAGTACCAGAATGGAGCTGGCTTCTCAGCTTTCAGCTCCAGAAAAGTTCTGCCAGCTGTTTTCACCCTTAAGTAACAGTTTCTTAAAAATATAATCTATAGACATGTGACCTTTCTGAGAGTCCTAGGAAGTTGTGCTTGCAGTGTATTCTAAATATACCAGCTAAATAACTCACTGGATATGTTCCACTTAGTGAATATCTTGCCCCACATACTCGAGGGTGCAGACTGGGGTGTTAGAGAGTTGAAAACAGAATCTGCTCCTGTTATAATGTGCCAGCTCCATAATGGATTGGATCTAAAATAGGTTATGGATATAGACTTGATGAAGAAAGGTAAAAATTGTGGTACAGTTTTTTAGGACTCCAAATGAACCATTTTTGCTGCTAGGGCTCATTGTTACTTCCTAGAGGATGAAAGGGTAAAAACACAAGAACTCAAAGTTCAGTTGTGTTTTAATAAAATCAGCTCTTTGATTCTTTAATAGAATCAGCAGTACAGCTGAATTAATTAGTTATCTGTAAGGTGCTTTGAAGGTGAAGTGGTATGTAAGTGAAAGAGTATTATACCTTTTCTTCCCCCATATTTAGATATTCCCTTATTTCTTTAAAAATCCAGCTGAATTATTAGCAAAGCAAATACCTCTATTCATTAAGTAACTATTAGGGGGAATTCTGCAAGCATTTGAATGTAAGAGTGAAGAAAGGAGGTGTACTACTTGTTTGATTATTATGTGACTGACCCAGGTAGATATTTTTGTGATTTCCACTTCATTTTCTGCTTTGTAAAAGAGTAGAAGATTGATTATCCCTTATTGTGCCCCTCTCCCCAGTTCTTCCTGGACCAAACAATAACCCTGCTCTAGTTAAGATAGGAAAGCCTCTTGCTACAGGCCACTCCTGAGAAAGGGGCCTGAGGAGAAGCGCACACCCTTCTCTAAGCAGGTTTGCTTCTGGACAGTTGAATGACCTGGCTAATTAATCAGTGCTTGTTTGGGCACTTACAAGGAATGTTGTACCTAGCATTCCTCTATTTTAGCTCTTAATCCTGGGGAGCTTGATAAAATTCTCATGCCTGGGCTCTACCCCAGAACAATTAAATCAGAATATGGTGGGCCTAGGCAGGAGATGAAAACATTCAGATGTCCCAGAGAAGATCCATGTGTCTTCCTCCTACCATCATTCTGTGTTCTTTTGTTGCTGAACTTTCTAGTGAAATGTTTTGGGGAAAGAATAAAGGACACTTTCATGTACTTTAGTCATAAGGATAGATTAAATTGGAAAAGATGATGATAATATTGCTGTGTATTAATGTCCTATATATATTATCTACAGCCTGCTTTTGACCCTGACAATGTGGAACACTGGATTAAGGTAAGGATATTGCACAATTAAAATAGAAAGAGAATTAAGAGTCAGACATAATCAGGTGGAAAAGGCATACTAACAGGTCTCCATTTTGCACATATTTTGCTGTTTTTGTTCCCATGTGAATACATATGTTGTCTTACTTTTATACTCTTTAGTCAAGGAGAGGAGAGGAGAAGAGAAGAGAAGCCTTAGGAGAGGTCTTCCTCAGATCATTGGAAAGACTGCACTGTAGTTACATTAACGTGTGGGACCAATACAATAGGTAAAAGCTATGCATACATCACAAGGAAGAATTTTTTAATGACTAGAGTTATCCAAAATGGAGTGGACATTCTTGTAAGTATTTTCTATCACTGAAATATTCAAGTTGATTCTAAATGGTCACTCAAAATTAGGACTAATGAAAAATATGTCTGAGCATTCAGTGAAAGGTTGGGAGGATTGTGTTAGATAACCTCCAAGATCTCTTCCAGGCCTGAAATGTATATTTTTCAGTCCAACTACCATTTACATTGAAATACCAATAAACCACTTGAGGTTCATGCTTCTGAGCATCAATTTGGCAACTTGGCGTACTCAATTCATTTGCACACCACAAGGTTTAAAATCATGCAGTATTTTCTTGGGGAAAATAGTCCTCTGTCCGATATTAATAGTCTTCTGTTTCTTTTGGAAGAGTTGTTACTTACATAAATTAATAAGTATTATGAGCATCAGGCCAGATGGAACCTAGGCCAGATATCATTATTAACCATTATTCACCCAGCCAGTATTAATTAAGTGCCTACTAAGTGCTAGCCCACTATTTTGGGCACTGGAGATAATACTGTGCACAGGGCTAGTACAGTCCCTGCCTTCCCAGAGTTTATAGTTCAGTGTGGGATAAAAATAGCTGTTGGCAGAATTAAGAATGTAATGGAAGCACATGGTGGGGGTTGCTAATATAGGTGGAGTCATTTTACTCTTCATAGAGCTGTTAGCCAACCTGACTTGGTCAGATGTTTATCATTCCTTTTACAATCCTTCTAAAGCTTCTGCAATAGCTCTTTTCCATTAGGTCCTCAAATCTCCCGCCTTGAAAAAAAATCAATAAGTCCTTATTTCACCCCTCCATCCATTCTGATTGTCGTGCAATTTCTCTTTCTTATCTAATGCCTTTGAATATATAGCCTGGATTCCTTACCATTGTATTTTTGTTATCATGTCCACAATTATTTTACTTCAGTTTCTATTTCTTACTGCTCCACAGAAACTGTTGTCATAAATGACTTACTGACCAATCTAATGGTCACTTCTTTCTCCTCAAACTTTTTAAAGTTCATTTGCTAAAGTTGTCACTTTTTTTTTAATTCTAGAACTCCATGATGTTTTTTTTAACACTGTTTTCTCTTTCTTTTCCTACCTCTCTGTTAACTTCTGTATCTTCTTTTCTGAGTTTGCTCCCTAATATATCCCGACTCTGGGTGTACCCTAAACAGATATAACCTTTGGACCTAAGACCTCCAAATCCATTTGAGTGGACCACCCTCTAAAAATCAGCTAAGACTTTGTTACGTGGAAGGCAGAGAATATATAGAAAGGATATGAAACATGGTGAAGATTGAGAAAGGGCTTTCTTAAGAACAGAAAAGGAAGGTCAGTATAACTACAGCACTAGGAACTTGGCTAAAGCAGGTAACCATAATTTTTTGTGGTACCAAAAATTGCTAGCTCGGATAGATCCAGGCTTGGAAGTTCTCATTGGGAAGGGAGAAGAAAAGGAGATGTGAGGCTTATGAAAGAGACACAGAGTAGGAAAGGAAGGAGACCCCTTAAAGGACACATAGGTTAGAAGAAGGAGGAGGCATGTGGAGACTGGAGGACTTGGTTAGGTGCAACACGAATGTAGAGGAGTAGTGGGGAGTGAAAGGACATGAAAGAAGGATAGGAGGTTGATAGTGGAAAGGAGATGATCATCATTTGGTTTGACCAATGGAAGATTCTGTGTGGCATGTTTTAGGATGACAGTGTCAGTGGGTTGCAATGAAAGCGCAATGAAAGGGAAAGTTGTTGGAAAATAGGAGATCAAAGCAAGCCTTGAGGCTGGAATGTGGGTGGGTCTTCTTCAGGGATGTTGAAGTCACTTAGAATCAGACAGATGCTTGGTAGAACTATGAATCCTGGGGTAACTCACCCAAAATGGAACTGTCCACCACAATTTACAGTTCACCCTTATTCTGATTTGATAGGCTGACTCATCTTTTAAAATTTATTTTTTAAATATATTTTAATGATTATGTTATTACAGTTGTCCCAATTTTTCCCCCTTTGTCCCGTCCACCTAGTACCCTATTCCCTCCAGCAATTCCCCCCTGCCCTTAGTTCATGTCCATGGGTCTTGAATATAAACTCTTTGGCTACTCCATTTCCTATACTGTTCTTAACATCCCCCTGTCTATTTTGTACCTACCAATTCGTACTTCTTAATCCCTGACCTTTTCCCCCATTATTCCTCTTCCCCTTTCCAGCTGATAACCCTCCAAATGATTACCATATCTGTGATTCTGTTCCTGTTCTGATTGTTTTCTTAGTTTTTTAGATTCAGTTGTTGATAGTTGTGAATTTCTTACCTTTTTAATGTTCATAGTTTTGATCTTTTTTTCCTTATATAGCTCCCTTTAACATTTCATGTAATAGTGGCTTGATGATGGTGAACTCCTTTAGTTTTACCTAGTCTGGGAAGCACTTTATCTGCCCTTCCATTCTTTGGAATGGAAAGATAGCTTTCCATTACTCAGCATTTGATAGCTTTGCTGCATAGAGTAATCTAGGTTGTAGGTCCTTGCTTTTCATCACTTTGAATATTTCCTGCCTGTCCCTTCTAGCCTACAAAATTTCTTTTGAGAAATCAGCTGACAATCTTATGGGACCTCCTTTGCAGGTAACTATCTGCTCTCCTCTTGCTGCTTTTAAGATTCTCTCTTTATCTTTAACCTTTGGCATTTTAATTTTGATGTATTTTGGTTTGGTCCTCTTTGAGTCCAACCTGTTTGGTACTGAGTGCTTCCTGGACTTGTATGTTTATTTCCATCAACAAATTAGGGAAGTTTTCTTTCATTGTTTTTTCAAATAAATTTTCAATTTCTTGCTCTTCCTCTTCTCCTTCTGGCACCCCTATGATTTTTGGATGTTGGTATGTTTGAAGATGTCCCAGATGCTCCTTAGTCTATCTTTGTTTTTTTGAATTCTTTTTTCTTCTTGCTGTTTTGATTGGATGCTTTTTTCTTCCTTATGTTCTACATTGATTTGATTCTCAGCTTCATCCCCTCTGCTGTTGGTTCCCTGTAGATTTTTCTTTATTTCACTTAATTTAACTCTCGTTTCTGCCTTGGTCTTTTTTATGCTGCTGCAGTACCCAATAGCTCTTTGAACTCTACACCTCACAGGTTGCTTATCTCCATTTCATTTAGTTCTTTTTCTGGAGTTTGCTTCTGTTCTTTTCATTTGGGCCCTATTTCTTTGTCTCTTCCATTTGGCAGCCTCCCTGTATTTGTTTGTGTATTAGGTAGAGATGATTTGACTCCCTAACTTAGTAGTGTGGCCTATTGTAGAAAAGCGCACCTGTAAATTACAGGAGGTGGAGCCTGAGGTAATTGTCAGTGTAGGGCAACCCTTTTCACTGCTTGTGGCTCTGGGTGGGGGAAGGCTTGGAGAAGGGGCAGTGCTACTGCCTGGCATCTGGAGATTTGCCCACGGGGGAAGCTGTCTCCCGGCACTTGCCCTGTTGCCAGTTACTTCACCTTCTCCCTATATGCCACTTGTGCCCTTCCAGCTGTTGCCCTGGTGCGGAATCCCAGAGGGGGTGAGTCTGCAAAAGTCCTAAGTCCTTTGTGGGCCTGTTAAGAAGAGTTTCTTCCTGCAGTTTCTTCTGCTGCCCCAACCTCCACTGTTTTTTACAGCCAGAAGTTAATGGGACTTATCTTCCTGGTGCTGGAACCATGGTCTAAGTGGTTTCATATGGGGCTGGGATCTACAATCCTGAGGTATCCCTCCCTATTTTTATCCACCGCACACGAATGTGGGACCACCCATTCCGCTGCCTCTCAATGCCATTTTGCATCTCTGTGCTTCTCAGTGCCTCTTTGCTCCTCTCTGCACGTCTGCGCCCCTCCTACCTGTCTGGATGAATGTGGTTTCTTTAAATCCTCGATTGTTGGATTTCCATACAGCTCGATTTTCTGATGAACCTGGGTGATATTTGTTTTGTAGTCTAGTTTTAATTTTTGTTGGAGTTACACAAGGAGGCAAAGCATGTTTACCTGTGCCTCCATCTTGACTAGAGGTTTGACTCATCTTCTTACTCCAGTACATTCTGCTACTTTGAGCTTTTTAAACATTTTCAGCATGTCAGTTCTTCAGTCTTGAACCTTCAGTGATTCTGCATGTCATCAGATCAAACACTAAATCCAGATTGGCATTTGAGGCCATCTATCAATCTACCTCTTACAACCCTTCTTCTGATACTCTGTGTGACTCCCCGTCATGCTAATCTCCTTTCCCTCCATCATGAAAGACTTCCCCCTTTGCTTTGACTCATGCTGATCCCGCAGCCTGGACTGCCCTTCCTCTTTGAGAGGCTAATTCAGGTCCTTCCCTTAAAGCTCAGTTTGAGATGTCCCTTTCAGTGAACAATTTCCCCTCACCTCAACCACCTAATCCTGTCTTTTAATATTCTTTTCTTTGGAATTATTTTGACATTCATATACACAGATACAGTTAAACATTTGCTTGTATACAGAGTGAATTAAAAAGAAATGGGCACTTTCAAAAATACATTACTCCCAAAACTGTATATATGAACATGCAATTTGCACATTCAAGAAACTCATGTTTGTACCCCCCAGCCTTGAGGAAAGGAAGGAGTGCATTGTAGTTGCTGTTTCTGCTATCAATGGTGATAGTTTACAAAGAGTCTAGCATGGACAATAGGATTGCTATGTGCCATGGCACATGAGGAGCACATATAGATATACCTCGTTTTATTAGGCTCTGCATTATTGAACTTCCCAGATAATACAATTTTATCAACATTAAGGCAAGACCCTCTACCAGCAGAAAGATTATGACTTGCTGAAGGTTCAGATGATGGTTAGCATTTTTCAGAAGTATTTTTAATTAAGTTAAATACATTTTTTTAGATGTGATGCTATTGCACATTTAATATAGACTACAGTATAGTAGATACATAGCTTTTATATGCACTGGAAAACCCCACAATTTTATGTGACTTTATTGCAAGATTCACTTTACTATGATGGTCTGGAATCAAATTCACAATATCTCCAAGATATGGTTGTATTGGGAATTTATAAGATCATAGAAATAACTGAGATAGTTCCTTTACAAACTACTTACTTATATACAATGTAGCTACTAAGTAATAAACTTTGGAGTGTATTTAGTTACTTTTTTTTTAATGATCACCCTGTATTGCTTTAGAATTATTTTTGAGTTGTTTATTGCACACATGATATATGAAACAAATAAACAAAAAAGTGAACTCTTTGAGAACAAAAGATTTCAGTTTTGTTTTTCCCTTAATATTCACTGTAGAGCTGGTAACAGAGCTACCATTCAATGAACTAGCTTAAAGAATAAGTTGTTCAACTGACACAATGTTTGTTTCACTGAAATGGAATTTTAAGGTATCCCCCTCCTGTCTCTTACATATTTATTTGGGGTGGGGACAAAATGTGGTAAAGATATAATATATTAAATTAAGGAAATATAGAGATTATTTATTTTAAAACATTTTTCATTTATTGATTTTTAGAGGGAGAAGAAAGGAGAGAGAGGGAGAGAAAGAGAGAAACATTGATTTGTTGTTCTACTTATTTTTGCATTCATTGGTTGATTCTTGTATGTGCCCTGACTCGGGATCAAACCCGTGACCTTGATGTATCAGAATGATTCCCCAACCAAATGAGCTACCTGGCCAGGGCTGTTATTTATTCTTTTTATGTGTGTGTTAGTTTAAAAATTAAAGTTGATCAATTTACTTGCACATTATTTACATTTGTATGTATACTCATACAACCACATACAGTATATGTGAAATTCAACTTGCTGTCTTAGAATTTAAGAACCTTAAAGGGAAGGACTGTGTACCAAGCATTTTGTAAGCATCCAATAAATGACATATACCAACCATCATGATATCTTTTCCTGTGTTCTATTTTTTTTACATATTTTTCAAATCGCTGTTGACTTCTAAACTTTATTATCCACTTCTGATTTAAACTTAATGTATGAAAACCTTGATATTTAAAATGGAAAGCCCATGCTAATTTTGGCAAGAGGAACAATCATTTTCAAAATAGGTCAAGTGACAATATAAATTATGGGAAAATGCAGCTTTTTAAAATAAATTTTTCACTTATTCCTTCCTTTAACAAATATTTATGAGCACCTGTTATGTGCCATGTACTATTCTAGAAACATGCTATGGTTTCATGCATGTAAAAGACAAAAATTCCTGTTTACCTTCTACTTAGGAGGAGCAACCAAAGACAAAAATGTTATAAGGTCATAAGCGCTATAAAGTCAAAACAGAAGGGGACTAGGGAGAGCCATGAGGAGGGTGGTTACAATTACATATAGGGTAGTCCAAGAAGGCCTTACTACAAAAGTGGACATTTGAGTAAAGACTTGGGTTGGGGGATGAGGGGACAAGTCACATGGTTATCTGGGGGAGAGAAGTCCACAGAGGAGAAGTTCAGTGCAAAGGCCGAGAGGTGGGAACATGCTTGGCATATTTGAGAAGGAAAGGAGGTTGGTGTGGCTGAAATCGAGTGAGCAATGGGAAGAGCAGCAGAGGAGGAGGTCAGAGAACTCACAAGGGGCCTAATGGGGCAGGACCTTGAAGCACGTTAAAAAGACTTAGACTTTTATTCTGAGTTGAATGAAATAGGGAACCATGGAAGGATTCTGAGGGGAATTCTAACATGTTATGCCTTTCACTTAAAGGGGGTCTCTCTGGCTGCTGTGGTGGAGGTTGTTATAGAAAACCTGTCAGGAAATTGTGGTGCCTTAAACTAGGGTGACAGCAGTAGAGATGACAAGAAGGGGTCAGATTCTGAATATGTTTTGAAAACAGAGTCAACAGTTTTCCTGATATATTATTGTATGTGGGGTAAGAAAGGGAGTGAGAGAAAAACAGCTTATTCAGGAAGGTTTTTGAGGAACTGAAAGAATGGAGTTGTTACTACCTGAGTTAGAAGCTAGGAACACACCAGAAATGGAGGAAAGCAGGTTTGTGGAGAGGGGAAGGGGGAAAAACAGGGCTGTAATTGTAAAATGAGTTCTTTTATACTGCGCGGGCAAGCCAAAAGGCTGAGGAAATTTGTCCACCTCTGCCAACTCCTTCCCTAATACCCTGAATTTGGCCACGTTTTTACTAGTTCTTACTGTTGAGTTAAAATATTCTGAAGGTTACAGTTCAGAGATTGTTTATCCCAATTTCATTGAACCCATAGTTTGCCCATATGGTGGAATATTTCTTTTCAGGGTAGTAATTTGAGGAAGTATAGCTACTCTGCCTCTGGCTCATTCATATGCAAATTTCAGTAGCATGGAAACTAATGTTATATATTTTTTTTAAAATAAAATATTCAGGTGTCAGAATCCCATAACTAATGCTCAACAAAAGTTATCTGAAGCTTAAATAACATTTTGTTCTAATATAAACATTGTGAACACCTGTTAAAACTTGGTAAAAATACTATAATTAATTTCATGTTTAATGAATGGAATTATTTAGGGTCGATGTTTAAGTCTCACAGTTCCTACAGAAATGGAAAAATGAAAGTATTTTAGTAGCTGGTAAAAAAATCAGATTCTTGAGGGTTGGAGAGAAATTTTCTAACCCAGAACAAAGTTGTCATCTTAATTTTTTTTTTCTCTGTTACATTAAAGAAAGTGGAGAAAGCTTCAGAATTTGGAGTTTCAGGAGCAGTTTCTGCTGGAAATTCAGATTTATCCAGAAGGCTTTGGGGCCAAATTATAGATTTGGAAACATCTGAGCAAATAGAGGATCATGATGAAGTCTATGCAGAAGGTGAGAGAATACATTTTTCTGCTGCAAGGTTAACAATTCTTCAGAGTACACCTTATTAAAGAATGACCTATAATGAATTTCAAAGGACAGAAAGAACACTTTTCTTTTTCTTGTTCTTAATTTTTGTTTATTCTACTGCCCTGAAGCTAATTTGTCTGGAATTAACTCAGTTATTACAAGTGAGGCTGTATTTAAGGCCCATTTTGTCTTCTGAAATAGAACCACAGCCAGAGGCAGCTTGACATAACATAGCTAACTTGACGACTGTTGGAAGATGTTAATTGTGTGGCACAGAGGGTAGCTTGTGAATTTGACGACAAGTTTATAATTCAACTTTGTTCCTTTTGAAGAGAGTCTAAAACTGATCTAACCTCCCTACCTCCTCAAGGCATGTGCTCCTCCGGAATTTAGTATTTTAGTTCCTGATGCCCTGAATAACTCCACTGTTTAGGGATGAAGAGATTAGGGGAACGAGCAAAAAATCCTGGGAAGGAAAGGCCATAGAAAGAGGATGAAAGTCAGTACCATGCCCTGGGAGCCAACTTCCATCTGGATTATTTATGTCTCCAGTTTTTCAGTTTATTTCATCTTTTATTCAACACGTACATATTTAAATCTGTTCAGAGTCAGGAGCTATTTTAGGTGCTGGAGGAACAGGTTATGAACAAGATAGGCAAAACCTTTGCTTTTATGCAGTATATAGTATAGTGTGGGGAAAAAAGAAATTAAATAAAAATTATCAGATAGTGACAAGTCATTCAAGTTTGGACCTGAATAACGAGAAGGAGCCATCTGAGCAGTGATGGAGGAAGAGCATCCCAGGTAGAGGGAAAGGTGGCATCAGGTGCTAGAGTACAGACAAGCTTCAGGAACTCACGGATGACCAGTATGTCTGGAGCTTCCCAGTGGAGGTGGGCTTGCAGAAGTGCACGGGAGACATGTCACACTTTATAAACCTGGAAGAAGAATTTAGATTTTGTTCTGAGTATGATGAAGCATCATTGAAAGGTTTAAGCAGAATTATAATAGGATAACTTTTTTTAATGTATGAAAAATTGATTATAAATAAGAAACAGAAGGAAAAGGGAGAACAGTGGGAGGCTATTGCAGCGGTCTGGGCGGCAGTCATAGTCCTTGGTCTTGGTTTTTTGTTGTACTGGAGACAGACAAGGGAGCTTGATGCAGAAATTGGCAAGGTATGCCTTGCCCACCCTACTTTCCATTCCACCAATAGGATTACAGAATATACTTTAGCCTATTAAGGTTTCTAAGAATTCCTATAGTTAACATTTTTTTACTTACTCCATTCACCAACTTTCCTACACCATGAAACTCTTTTTACTCAGAAATACCTATCCTGAGAAACCAGTCACCACATCAGGAAGTCCTGATATATGGATAGAAAGTAGTTTTTGAAGGTTTTTCTCCGCCCCGCCCCCCATCAACCATCTGTTAATATTCTACAAGAACTAGTGTTCTGAGGAGCATCCTTTCAGAAATTTTGCTTTAAGTTAGCCTTCTGTACCCCTCCTCTGAGCCATCGTGGGAAGTTCCTGCAGTTGAACACTCCAAGGGAAGTTCCCATTTTTGTTCTTACGGAACACTTCATAGTACAGTAGTCCCCCCTTACCTGTGGTTTCACTTTCCACAGTAAAATATTAAGTGGAAAGTTCCATAAATAAATAATTCATGAACTTTAACTTGCACATCATTTTGAGTAATATGAAGAAATCCCTCACTGTCTGCTTTGTCCTAATGTGAATCATCCCCTTGTCCCGCTTACCCACACTGAAAATCATTACCCTCCCATTAGTCACTTAGTAGCTGTGTCCGGGTTATCAGATAGACTGCCATAGTATCACAGAGCTTGTGTTCAAGTAACCTTTACTTCACTTAATGGCCCCAAAGTACAAGAGTAGTGATGCTGGCAATTTGGATATGCCAAAGAAGCTGTAAGTGCTTCCTTTAAGTTAAAAGGTGAGTGTAGAACAATAAGATATTTTGAAAGAGAGAGACTACATTCACGTAACTTATCTCTGTATACTGTTATAACTTTTCTATTTTACCATTAGTTATTGTTAATCTCTTATTGTGTTTAATTATAAACTAAACTTTATTGTAGGTATATATGTATAAGATAAAACAGTAAACATAAGATTTGGTATTATCCACTGTTTCAGGCATTTGCTGCGGGTCTTGGAACATTTCTCCCATGGGTAAACCTCTATCTACCAATGAATTATGTTTAGTAGATCTGAATTATTCTGTACATGTTATTATACACACAAATATCTGAATTGTCATACACAAGAGTACTCAATAAATATCTGCTCCCTTTCTTTACTTTCCTCTGAAAGCAATAATGTTTGTTGCTACTATACTTTTTACATGTACTTTCTGCTTCCTTGATTCATTTTTTCCTGTTTTACACATCATACTTAACTACCTATATTAAGTGCCTTTTAGCATCATTTAATATAGAGATACACTTCATTCTCTCAGAGCTATATGATAATGACAATAACAACGAAAATACTGAAATACGAGGGGGGACCCCCCAAAAAAACGGAATTATTTTCCGGAGGGTGCACCACTTGCAGTACAAGCTTCCCCTGTGAGGTGAGTGTTCTAGGAACCCATCTGTATCAGTGTACCAGCTGGTGGTGCTGTGAGTGGCTGTGTTCAGCTTTAGTGAATTTTTGTTGAAGACTCTTTTCAATGTGTTTGCCCATTTCATGACGGATGATTTACGAGTGCACCTGCCAACACTGTGCTGAGTGTTCAGGAGATTTTGACAAAAAATTGCATGACCTCCATACCCTGGCCTCCCTGTTTACCTGATTTCGCCCCAAGTGACTTTTTTTTTTTTTTTTGGTTTGTTTCCCTGGATGAAAAAAATCCTCAAAGGGAAACATTTTGCTGATGTGGAAGAGGTGAAACAAAAAATGGCAGAAGCACTAAAAAGCATCAAAATGGATGAGTTCAAAAACTGTTTTGAGCACTGGAAAATGTCTCAATAGGTATATTGCATCAAATGGAGAGTATTTTCAAGGTGACTGAAGTTTAAACATGTAAGAATAAGTACACAATTTTTAATAAATAAATTATGTTTTTTGGGGGGGGGTCTTCCCCTCGTAGATATTTTTCTTCTTTGAAACCCACATGCTGTACCCATAAGAGCTGTTTGATAATGATGATCATAATGATGAAGGTAATACTAAAGTAGACATTTTCTCACCTAGACACTTAAGAAGATTTTTCTGGATATCTCTAGGAAAGAAATCCAAATGGAGTTGGCTTCCAGGATATCACACTCAGCTTTTTCCTCCTCTCTCAAAGATCACCCCCTCCTAGTTTGCTTTCCTGGTTCTGCCCTATCTCTGCAGCCTCTAAATACTGGCATTCCTCAGGGTTAGTCCTTGAATCAGTCCCTATCCACCTTCCTCTGGCGACTCCATCCACTTCTGTAGCTTTAAGTACCACCTGTATGCTAATAACACCCATGTTTATTTCTTCAGCTTGAACCTCGCCCCTGAAACACCTATTTGACATCCCTGTTTGGATATCTCATAAGTATATCAAACCTAACAAGCATAAAACTGAACTCCTGACCTCCCCCCAACCTGCTGTGCCCTTGGCCTTCCCCGGCTCAGTAAGTGGTATCTCCATTTTTGCAATTGCTTAGGCCAAAAACCTGTAGATTTCTTTCTCTCATATTCCATATCCAGTCCATCAGCAAATCATGTTAACTTTACCTCAAAACATCATTTTTAAATATGACCATTTTCAATGCCTCCATGCCAGGCCATCATCATTCCTCTCCTAGATCATTGCATTTGCCTCCCAATTGGTGTACACTGCATCCACGTGTGTCTCCTTATAGTCTTATTTTAACAGAGTAGGTAGAGTGATCTCTTTGCTCATAACCCCCCTGTGGCTTCCCATTGCATTTAGAGTGAAAGCCAAAGTACCTAGAATGGTGTCAAGACTCTAAAGAAAGGGTTTCAGCCTCAGCACTATTGACATTTTGGGCCAGATAATTTTTGTTGGCACCACCGTGTGCATTATAGGAAGTTTAGGAGCATCTCTGGTCTCTACCTGCTAAATGCCACTATCATCTCCTCCAGTTGTGACAACCAAAAATGGCTCCACACATTGCCAAATGTCTCCTGGAGCACAATTTTGCCCAAAACCAGAACCACTGCTCTAAACCTGATTCCTGTATTACCACACCATCTCATCTTCTCTTTCTCCCAATGCCCTTCACTCACTCTTCCCCAGCCACACTGCCTCCTTACTATTTTTCCAACACTTTCCTACTTTAGGCAGGGAATAATGTCACTTACATACCCATATGACTCACATCCTCACTTCCCTCCCTTCTTTGCTCAGATATCTTCTCCGTGAGGCCTCTTTGACAACCCAATTTAAAACTACCAACACCTATCTTCCATTGCTTGTATACCATTTCTTTTTCTCCTACTCTGTTTTTCGGACTTATTTATGATCTCTCTTCCACAATTACGATATAAGCTTTGTTGTGTAGGCTTTATTTTTCCTGTTTTGTTCACTTCTGTATTTCTAGCATCAAGAACAGTGTATCTAGACACATGATCAGTGCTCAATTAATATGTATTAAATGAATGAAAACAATGAATGAAAAAAGGTATCTGAAGTAATTGAAATATTAAAAATATGTTTTTGTTTTTTTGTAGCTCAGGAGCTGGTCAATGACTGGTTAGACACCAAACTTAAGCAAGAACTGGCAAGTGATGGGGAAGCTGAAGATACTGTGTCAAGTATCCCTCCTGTGTTAGAAGCCAGTGGTCATTTAAAATATGACAGGTTTGATGGTAAGAACAGATCTCATTGTTCTAAGCTTTAACATCCAATGAATGTCTAAGATGTCCGTTTTTAAAGATTTTATGTATTTATTTTTAGAGAGAGGGAAAGGGAGGGAGAGAGGGAGAGAAACATTGATGTGAGAGAGAAACATCGATTGGATGACTGTCGTACGCACCCGACCAGGGACTGAACCCACAGCCCAAGCATATGCCCTGACCCAGAAACGAATTGTTGACCCAGCGACCTTTTGCTTTCTGGGATGACGCCCAACCAACGAGCCACATTTGTCAGGGCGAGGATGTATTTTCAATTGTTTTGAATAATAAATATGTTATTTAGCTTTTCAGTGTATTGCTTATTTTTATAAGCTTTAATGTTTCTTGATTCAATTTAAATTATCTATATCCTCAGTAAATTCATGCTATTCTTTAAATTAAAATATTCTGTGATTCATAATTCTTATGATTATAATAGTAAATAATACTGTATAAGAGTGCTTCTTCCTATATATTGTTAGATGGCTACTTTGGACACTACGTTTAAACATTCATATATCATTTTATATTTATCTTTACTTCACATATCTTTATAAAAAGATTATTCCTTGTTCATAGAGCTAGTGTCAGACAAGTTAAATAGCTAATTTGTAATGATTCCTCAAATGTATTCAAAGAGTCTGAGACTTTCCTGAGCATAATGGTAGGCATGGTGACAGTGGTAGCAGCTCCTCATGCATTACTTAGACACCCTTGGCAAACTCACCTGGTAGCATTCCGCTTGTTAGCACTCTTCAAAATCACCAGCTCAGGAATCACAAAGTCATGAGCTCTTAAACTTGGAGAAATCCTTCAAGAGTACCGAGTCTGACCCCCTCAGACAGATCCTTCTACAGAATACCTAACGTGAAATGATACAATCTGCCTGGACACCTCCCAGGGTAGAGAGCCTGCACTTGGGAGGAGCGCCTTCTGCTGCTGTGAGGCTCTAATCTTCATAGCATTTGCTCTTAGGAAAATAAGAATTTTTACCTCATAAGAATCAAGATGGCGGAGGAGTGAGTGGAAGTCAACTGACTTCCTCCCAGGACCAACCTGGAATTGCAACTGAATTCTGGAGAAATTACCTGGAACAAACAGCTGAACAGTAGGAAGAGAGGAGTCTTGTAACCTCAGACAGAAGAATCGGCTTTAGTGCAATCTAACTGGTAAGGACTGTGGTACAGACCTGAGAAGGCGGGTGGGGCACCCACAGGTGGCAGCACCAGAAGGATATTGAAAAGACCAGTTGGATCCGCCAGAGAAGAGTGGGGTCTCAACCAAAAGTGGGGATCTCTAGCCCACAGCACCAGAGCCCAAAAGGTACACAGAAAACAGCCAGCTGCGAAAAGCAGCAGGGTTGCTCTCTGCCAGAGACAGGCGGCTGGAGACGCAAAGAACTGTTTAAAGGGCCATCACATACATTTTTATTTGCAGCCACTTACCGTGGTCTCCTGCAAAGGCGGGGGCAGAGTGGCCTAGAGACGCCTGAGAGAGACTGGAGAAGGAGGCTTTGGGGAGAGAAATGAGAGTGGAGCCAGTAGGATCTCGATGCTGGCTCATGCCCCATGTGGCAGCAGCCATCTTGCTCAGGCAGAGACCACTCTCCCTGAGCGGCACCAGCGTCAAAGGACCCAATAGTCCCGCCCCCTGATGGAATTCCACCCCGCCCTGTGCTGTCTGAGCTGCCTGCTGAGTGCAGAGCGTCAGCCACAGACAGTAGATCTCTGGCTAAAGGGGGCACAGAGAGGTCTGGCAACACTTAAGAGACTGGGGACAGAGGCTTTGGGGAGAGAATGGAGTGGCTATCACAATCCCAGTGTGAACTCCTCCCCTATAGGGCAGCAGCATGAGTGGACCCAATAACCCTTCCCCCAGGAGGGATTCCGCCCCGCCCCGAGCTGTCTAAGGCAGCCTGCTGAGTGCAGAGTGAATAGGTTAACAGCTGAAGGAGACAGCCACAAACAGTAGATTACTGGAAGTCTCGAACAGACTGGCTAAGGTCAGACGGAGTCAACATCTGGCATCAGGGGCAGATCCAGAAAGTAAAAACAGCAGTCTCCAACCATAGAAGTTCACACCACAAAGTCAGGAGATCAAGACAGACCAACTTAAGAAGCAGAAGCAAAAGAGAAGAGTCTCACAAATAATGGGGAGACAAAGAAATACACCCCACTCGAAGGGAAAGGAGCAATCCCCAGAAAGAGAACTAAATGAAATAGAGGCAAGTAAGCTATCAGATATTGAGTTCCAAGCAATGGTTCTAAGGAAGCTCAGTGAGCTCAGAGAGAATTACCAAAAACTACAGGGAAAGTACAAGAAACTTACTGCAAACTATATCAGCATGGAAAAGGACAAAGAAACGATCAATAAGGGACAAGAGGAAATGAAGAATACAATTTCTGAATTGAAGAACACAGTGGAAGGAATCAAAAGCAGGCTAGATGAAGCTGAGGACCGAATCAGCGAGCTGGAGGACAAGGTAGAAAACAGCTCCCAGAAAGTGCAAGAAAATGAAAAGACTCAAAAAGAATGGAGAGGCATTTAGGGAAATGCAGGACAACCTGAAACGAAATAATATCCGTATAATAGGGATACCAGAAGGAGAAGAGGATGAGGAAGGCATAGAGGACCTGTTTGAAAAAGTCATGATGGAAGACTTCCCTCATTGGAGGAGAGAAAAAATGACACAAGTCCAGGAAGCACAGATGGTCCCACTCAAGAGGAAACCAGTGAGGCCCACTCCAAGACACACCATCATTAAAATGGCAAATAGCAAAGACAAACAGAGAATCCTAATGCAAGCAAGGGAGAAAGAGGCAGTAACATATAAGCGAGCCCCCACACGGCTAGCAGCTGACTTCTGAACAGAAACCCTGCAAGCCAGAAGGGACTGACAAGAAATATTCCAAGTCATGAAAAGCAAAGGCCTGCAACCAAGACTGCTTTGCCCAGCAAGGCTCTCAATGAAAATGGAAGGCGAAATAAGGAGTTTCCCAGACAAAAGAAAGCTAGAAGACTACACCTTCACCAAACCAGCACTGCAAAATATGCTAAAGGGACTGCTTTAAGATGAAGAAAAAGTTTCTATGACTACCCAGTTCCTTTCAGAGTTGCCAATACTTGACATTACCAATATTTTTAATACTCATTAATCTGATTGTGACAATGATGTTATTTTAATTCCTTTACTGTTTGTTGAAACTAAACCTGTTTTAGTATATTTCTTGCCTATTTCTATTTTTTTAAAAAAAGCTTTCAATGCCTTTTTGGTGTTCTTTATCCATTTATTGATTAAAGGTTTGTAGAATTTTTTTCCTTTAAAGAAAAAAAAATCCTATTAACCATGTTTTAGATGTGTTGCAAGTACTTTTCTATTCCATTCCTTGTCCTTTAACTTTTTTCATATGTATATTACTATATAGTTATATGTTTAATATATTCATAATGTCCATATTTATAACTCTGGGTTTGAATATTTTACTTCAGGTCATGAAAAATATTAGTTCTATTTTCTTCTAAAACTCCTTAGATTCTACATATTGATTTTTAACTCACCTGAATAGTTCTTGTATAATGTGTGAAATAGGGCTCTATATGTGTTTGATTTCAAGTAATAGTGGTCCATGCACCTTATTTGTTGAATAAGCCTTATTTTACCATTGATTTGAAATGTCAACTTAATCACATATTTTATTGCTGGACAGATATATACATTTGTCTCTAGAATGCTCATTATATTTCATTGATCTACTTGATTATTTCTGTGCAGGTGTCATGTTGGTTTAATGGCTGACACTTTATAACAGGTTTAAATTTTTTAATATTTTATAATTAACTTTGACTAATTAACTATCTAAAAAAATAAATAAAATCAATCTGCATTGAAGAAAGAAAGAAAGAGAGAGAGATGGAACTCTTACCTTTTGCGACAACATGGGTGGAACTGGAGAATATGAAGCTAAGTGAAATAAGCCAGTTGATGAAAGACAAATACCATATGATCTCACCTATAAGTGGACTCTATTCAACAAAATAAACTAACGAGCAAAATAAACCACAGGCACGGAAACATGGAGCAGACTGAAAGTGCCCAGAGCAGAGGGGGAAAGAGGACAATGGTGGAAAGAAGGGGAAGGGACTAGACAAAGAACATGTATGAATTACTCACAGACATGGACAACAGAGTGGGAATGGACTGTGGGAGTGGGATGTGGGGGTGGGATGGGTGGGGCAGGTAAAGGGTGAAAAATTGAGACACTATAATAGAATAAACACAATTTATAAATTTTTTAAAAAAGGTAAAAAAAAGAATTTTACCTCAGTAACTTTTACCTTATAATGCCACAGAATTTACCTTACAATGTGTTCCCTCTCTCAAGAACAGTCCTTATGTTTTTATGGGAACTGTAATAATATCTGATCCCTCATATACTTCACTACTCCTAGAGTAAACAACACCAGTTCTCTCTATAGTTCATTAGTATCTTACTGTGTCTAGATCATATCCTGATTGCCACCTTCTGGATATTTTCTAGTTTATTAATGTCATTATTAAAGTGAGGCATTTTAGTTCTTCATATTTATTCTGAAGCATATATGAAATGTAGTGAAACTATTACTTCCCTTCATATGGTGATAATAGATCTAGTTATGTCTCCTAGGCTTGCCATCACCACCTAGTATCATACCAGGCCTCACTCATCTTATGCTTATAGACTCCTGTTTTTGGGGATTTTTAGTTTAGTTTAGTTTTTGTGGCAAAACATTGAACAAAATTATTATGTAGCCATTAAAAAGGATGCTTACCATAAGTACTTATTAACATGTGATTATCTCAATAGATACAGAAAAACTACTTTGTCCTGATTAAGAACTCTTAGCAAACTAGTAGTAGAAGGTAAATTCCTCAACCTAACAAAGGGCATTTACATAAGACACATAGAAAACCAATATCAAGGCGATAAATGTATTACCTCTTATCAGGAATTACATTAAATGTAAATGGATTAAACACTCCAAACAAAAGACAGAGATTAGCAGGTTGAATTTAAAAACCTGACCTACCTGTATGCTGTCTACAAGAGACATGATTTAATTTCAAAGAGATAAAAAGGCTGAAAGTAGAAGGATGGAAAGATATACTATGCAAACAGTAAACAAAACAAGAGCAAGAACAGCTTATTAACATCAGAAAAAAAATAGACTAAAAAAATGCTACTGGAGACAAAGAACGGCATTTTATAATGATCAAAGGATCAATCCATCAAGAAAACATAAGTATAAACATATGTATACTTAAAAAAGAGCCCCAAAATATGTGAAGCAAAAACTGACAAAATTGAAGGAAGAAAAGATAGTTCAACAATAACAACTAGAGTATCTTCAATACCCCATTTTATTTTATTTTATTTTTAAGATTTTATTTATTTATTTTTAAAAAGAGGAGAAGGGAAGGGAAAGAAAGGGAGAGAGAAACATCATTTAGTTGCCTCTTGCATGCCCCCAACTGAGGACCTGGCCCACAACCCAGGCATGTGCCCTGACCAGGAATCAAACTAGCAACCATTTGGTTTACAGGATGATGCCCAACCCACTGAGCCACACCAGTCAGGGCAATATCCCATTTTAATAATGGATGTAACTACATGGTATACTAAACAGAACAACAACAAGGAAGATGTTCAATATTGTGAATTATTAGGAAAATACCAGTTAAAACTACCACTTACATACCAATTAAAATGGTTTAAATTAAAAGAATGACCATACTAAGTATTAGTAAGGATGTGCAGGAACTGGCACACTCCTATAGTACTGCTGAGAATATAAAATCATATGGCCACGTTGGAAATCAGTTTGGCAGTTTCATAAAAAGTTTCTCTTCCCAAGAGAAAAGAAAGCAGATGTTCATACAAAGATTTGTATATAAATGTACATAACGACTTCTTTTGCAATAGCCCAAACCTGGAAGTAACCCAAATGTGATTTCCACAGATGAATGAATGAATAAATTGTGGTATGCATATACAGTAGAATACTACTCAGCAGTAAAAAGAGATAAACTACTGATACAACATGGATGAATCTCAAAATAATTATGCTGAGTAAAAGAAGCCTGACACCCCCCCCCAAAAAGTACATAGCATATGATTTAAATGATACAAAATTCTAGAAAATTTAACTATAGTGACAGAAAGCAGGTCTGTGGTTGCTTGGGACAGGGCAGAGAGAACCTGGAGAAGAGTGGAAGGAAGAGATCACCAATAAGCGGGAGGACGTTTTTGAGGCTGACATGTTCATTATCTTGATTGTAGTGATGGTCTATTGGTATATGTCAAAACTTATTGTAAACTTTTAAATATTTACAGTTTATTTGCTAATTATAACTGCAATTGTCATTAAAAACAAAAACAAAACTATAAAGCCCTGGCCAGTGTAGCTCAGTTGGTTGGAGCAGCGTCCCCTTAGACTGTGAGGTCTTGGGTTTAATCCCCAGTAGGGGTGTATATGGGAAGAAAACCAATCGACAGTTCTCTTTCTCCCCCCTCCCTTCCTCTCTCTCTAAAAACAATGAAAAAATGTCCTCAAGTGAGGATTAAAAAAACAGAAAGCAACAGAGTCTTCAAGGATGTTTAAACTAAATAAACTTGTGAGGAAGTCTTTAGTGATGTGGGTGAGGGTAATTCTTCATGATTAGAGGTTCTTCCTCCTTCTTAGTTGCAGTTAATTGCTGAGGACTCTGCTCATCCAACTGGCATTATCAGTTACTATTGAACACTCACAGTATTGTATTTGTATTGTACTAGGATTGTTTATATAAATATGGAAATTATATTAACATTTTTTCATTTAAAAATATTTTTTTGTTTTTTTTGTCATTGTTCTGTTTCCCCCAGATTTCTGTGGCTATTTGGAAGAAGAAGAGGAAAGTACCACTGTACAAAAATTTATAGACCATCTGCTCCATAAAGATGTAGTGGATTCTGGGATGTTGGAAGATCTTGGAATGAATGGAAACCAAGACAAGAAGCAGCAGAAGGATCCTCATCTTACCATGGAGATAAGACATAAGCAGGTGGGAGGGAAAAACAAAATTAAAATGGATAACAGGAAGCAATCTTTGTGTAACACATTTAATAAGCTTAAATAAAGACTGAGGCTTTATTATGAAAAAGGGTGCCATCTGTGGTTCAGTTAAAAAAAATAAAATAAAATAACTTCAGAAGAAAAGTAATGCTCATAAACTGCGGATAGGAAACTATTTAAGAAACTTCCAAAAAAGGAAAAATTGAATTTGATCAATAGAGTGGTGGGTTGAACTTTATTAGTTTGGATGTGGTACTTCCTATTATAAGTATATAGATTGGGTTTTGTTTGAATTTGGTTTTTGAATTGAAACATTGGTGTATTAATATCATGAATCTTCTGGTGAATGTTATAACTCTTTTCTACACAACTGAAAAAAATTCACTCATTTTGTGATTATAATTATAATTTGAAAGGGAGGACAAATCTGAACTAAATCTAGTTTCATCTGTTTTGAGGTAGAGAGTCATATGGAAACTTTCTTTTCTCTGAAGGGAATAGTAGGTTACAGGGAAAAGATACATCTCCACACTTTGCAAAGGAGCTTCAGGGAATCAGAAGGACCACGTCTTTGCCACATGTCCATAGCTAAGACTGAACCGGAATTAATATCTACGCATGTGTGCTGTCTTTTATGTGTGCTGAATATCTGATTGCTCTAAACTATACGATGTGCCTAATCAGCACTGGGTATGTTAGAAAAACTGTATGGAAGTACATCCTGGTTTGGATTTATGACAAGAAAGAGGAAAGACATTTCAATAAAAGATAGCTATTATCTAGAAGTCTTATATCTGGAGGGCAGGATAGGAGTAAAGCTAAGTGAAGCAGGAGGGAAAGGACCACTCTTTAATTTATAACTAGTCAAGCCTCTAGCAGGGGCATCCAACCTTTTGGCGTCTCTGGGCCACACTGGAAGAAGAAGAGTTGTCTTGGGCCACACGTTAAATACATTGCAACACATAATCACAAAAAAAATCTCCTAATGTTCTAAGTAAATGTATGATTTTGTGTTGGGCCACATTTACAGTCATCCTGGGCCGCATGCAGCCCACAGGACACAGGTTGGACACCCCTGCAAGTTAGTAGATTTTTAAAAATTACTGTGCTTATTCAGAAATATCTGTGAAGTTCATGGTTTTGATTTTCAAATATGAACCAGAATCATTAATATATTTAAATGGTGATAACAATGAATAAAGGGTTGTGGTGTTCCGTAAGGCAATATAGGTATTTCTTGACTTATGATGGGGTTTTACCTCAATATACCCACCATAAGTTGAAAACATAGTGAGTCAAAACTGCATTTACCGTTCTCTGCTAAGTATAATGCACTGCTGTATATAGTGCACACCCACGTTTTGGCCCAAACTTTCAGGGGAAAAAAGTCTTTCTTTTTAATTTTTTAATTCAATTTTTAATTAATATATAGAAGCAAAATGGATTAACATATTCCATGGTATTATTTTGCATACGGATATCGTTATTGCTCTCGAGAGTACACTTTTAACGCATAAACATAAATAAAAGAATTAAAAACATTTATATAGCTATAGAATTAGTACTACCCACGTATAATGCACATCCTTATTTTCCCCTCAAAAATCTGGGGAAAAAAGCGTGCATTATACACAGCAAAATATGGTAATACACTTACTGCCCACCTTAAATGTGCTCAGGACACTTACATTAGCTTCCAGGTGGGCAAAGTAATCTCACTGCCGCTGCCCAGCATTACAAGAAAGTGTTATACCACATGCCACTGCTCCAGAAAAAGATCAAAATTCATCATTTGAAGTGTGGTTTCCACTGAAGACATATTGCTTTTGCACCATTGTAAAGTCAAAAAATTGTAAGTCAAGCAATCGTAAGTTGGGGACCATCTGTAAATCACTGTTCTATCCTTCATAATGTAGCCTTCCCAAAATATTATTTTTAAAAAATTATAATAGTATGTAGACATGACATAAATAAATAGCAGTAATTCATATTTTGAAAAATCTTATGAGTGGAAGATCATGACTAAATAAGAATTCAATACTTGGCAGCTGACCCATTAGATGTTCACGTTTTCCATGGTGCAGATCATTCCCCAGCTGTTTGAGAGTCATCTTACGCAACTTCATTCAAAATTTTGTATTGACCCTTGCTCAGTAAACAAATGAATTCCCTCCATTCTTTTGATAAATAGTGGGGTTCTGTAGCAGAATGGGTTATTCTGAACTTCAAAATGTGTTTTATGATTTTGCAAATCCCTTTTCTACTTGAAAGGCTGCATTTTACCTTGCATTCTTCATAAGGTAAAAGAAAATCGCTTAAGAAGAGAGAAGGAACTGGAGCGCCAGAGAATTGAAAAGGCCCTGAAAAAATCGGCCTTCTTAGAGGCTCAGTATCTGGTGCAAGAAGAGAAGAAAAGGAAGGCTTTGGAGGCCAAGAAAGAGGAGGAAGAGATTCAGAGGGAGATGGTAAAGCTGCGGAGAGAGATCATTGAGAAGAGGCGCACTGTGGAAGAAGCATGGAAAATGTAAGTCAGCTGTGATGAGCAGTGTACAGTTTTTTTGTTTAAGCAGTCATTTTAGAAGTACTCTAAAGTTTTTAAAATGGACAAACACTAAAATTACAAAACACAACAGAGAAATCACCCACTATTCTACCATCTTAACAAATGAACTGTTTTCACTCTTCGTATGTCTTCCTTGTCTAAATCCCTTTATATACTTAATAGCAACTATAAAGTACATTGAATTTATTATCTGGTTGTTATAATTATCACATTAACTGGAGTCCTGAGGTCTGTATATTACTCCATTGAGTTCCTATACCATAACTTATGTAACGATCTCCCCTCCTTATTCTGGTAAGCATTACAGCTATTTCAGATTTTTTCACCAATAGTGCACTGAGCATCCTTAAGCAAAGAAGATTTTTTTATTCTTAGGAGTGTAATTACTGAGTTAAATGGTATAAGCCTTTTTATGATTTGAAACATTGCCAAATTGCTTTCCAAGTGGATTAGACTTATTTATATTACTATTGCTGGCAGTGGGCCAGCTAACCACAGTTTTCTTAGCATTGAAGAGTATCATCATTCTCAATACATTTTGCACTTTTAATAGGTACTGTACTGGTTAGTTTGCATCTCTTAGGTTACCTGAACATTTCTAAGGTTTAACATTTTCCCTTATGCACGTCTGCTAATTGTGCCTCGTTCTGTTGTGAATGGCGTCAGTGTCATATCTTCTAATAATCATACCGAGAGTCGCCATTACCCGGCTGCCACTGATAAAAGGAGTATCTGACATAAGAGGAGAATCAATGTAGTTCTTACAGGATGTAGTACTATTATGTATCCTCATGAAGAAAAGGAGTTTCATAAAGGAAATAACGTGTATTTATTCAGAGAAAAAGGACCGGTGCATGAACTACTAAGGCCTTTGACCAACGTGCCCGAAGTGACTGAACACTCAAACGGAGAGGCCAGAAAGACCTATTAGATAACCGCTGCCACGCCCATCAGCCCACACAGTGTTTCCCTCTGTGTTCTTGATTGCGCTCGTTCTACCCAATTTAAAACAGCTCTGCAGTGGGCTTGCGCTTCACTTTCAAGTGCTAGGCTCTGGCCTTCTCCGACACCATTCCTCTTAGAAAGCAATCACCAGTGTTTTAGTGAGTTCTTGCTAAGGTCAGCTATGCATTTCCAATTGCTCTTAAACCCTGAAAAATCTAGGCTGACATGAAATAAATCTTGAAGCGAGTAACATTTGATGGTAGCAGGAAGCTCTGCTCCAGGGGGCATTCAGCAGATGATCACTGACCAGTCATTTCTTTTAAAAGTTAAAATTTTATCCATGGTTGCAGTGAGACAGATATTGTGCTATTCTAGATGGATGAACTGATTTAAACGTTCCAGAGAGTAATCCGGCAATAAACACAAGAGCCATAAAAATGTTAATATCACTTGACCTGGGAATTTCCAGTTGTAAGGAAACTGCCCAAGAAAATGATCAGAAATCCACACAAAGATTTGTGCACAAATATAATTAAAGTAATATTATTTATGATAACAGGCATTAATAAATAGTGGAAAAATGAATAAACAGTGATTCTCCAGTGAAACAGCATTGGCATGTTATCAGTATTTTATTCTGTGTGGATATATGGGTGGATTTTATACCCTTCCAGTTTTTTCCAATGAGCTGATAATACTTTTCACAACAGACACTTTTTTTAAAAAATCAGTCCCATGGTATTAGAACTGTATTTCTTTAAATGCCCACTTTCACCATGCCTGTAGCCATCTAATATAACGTTGTTATAGCACTGGTAAGTTTGGGAAAAAATCAGTAAAACTGTATTGTTGGTAGGGCCTTTTAACTTACGTGTGAGCTATCCTAAAACTGCTTCATTGCAGAGTTTCAAAGTATCTTTCCTAAAAGATTCATTAATTACAAAAGGAAAAATAACAAATTTGTACTGGACATGCCACCTTAACCAAGTGATGGTTAACATCACTGGTAATAAGACACGTACAACATTGTGTTATATGTATTTCAATTCTCATATTCAGATTTGAGAAATAATGAGAGAATGTCTGCAAAGTATTCTGACAGCCCCGTCTCAATTTGAGTTTCCACAAATGTAAAGTAAAATTGAAGAAGTCCAGGTGACTTGCCTGAGTTTTCACAGCTGGTTTGTGGCCAACACCCAGGAATCCTGATTCCTGACTAGGTGTTATGTTTTCTACATCACTAGTAGTATATATACTTTATCCACATACCTATGTAGTTTAATGTACTCCAATAGGAAGCCAATGGCCCAGAGGTTCCATGAATGTAAGAAGGATGGCCTGGATGAGGGGGAACAGGTAGGTGAATGAGAAAGAGGGTGGCTGGAAAGCTGAGCAGTGCCGTTACTAACAGACGTGTTACTTGCCAAAAGGCCTTTTCCTTATTATAGAGTTCTATTTTTTTCCTCTTTTTAGCTCTTTCAGAATTAATATAAATTTTGTTCTTTCCTCATTCAATAATATCTAATTCTTCTATTATCTTTCTCCCTAAAAACCTTGTAAAAGACTTACTAGAAAAATCTCCTTTCTTTCTTACCTGAGGGCCCTGTTTTTGCCCCCTTATGAGAAAAGAATTATTTCTATGTTAGAGAATACCCAGTAGTTGTTAACTCTCAAATTTTGATCAAAGTGGTGCTCAATATTAAACTCAATAAAAATACTTTACTAAAATCTAGAGTTTTCTACTTTTCAGAGTACATTTTAACAGTTTTATTTCATTTAATCCATATTTTATTTTTAATAAAGAATATATAAGACTTAAAAAAAAACAATCACCCTACCATCTAGTTTTAAAGCCACATTTAATCTGTGTCTTCTGATGAAAAATTCAATATTCATTCCACGATGGTCTATAATTACTCATTGTTAAGTCTATTGTTTGTGTATGTATTTTTAAATTGTTATAAATAGAGAGAAGAAAAAGCAAGAAGAAAGTTCTCCAAAACATCCAGAAAAAGGCATATTACAACATGTTCATATTCTTCAGGAGGAAGAAAAATTGGCAAAAGAAAGAAAGAAGAAACTGAAAGAGTTATTAATTCAAACTTACAAGGAAAATCACCAGGTGGGACTTGTAATGCTTTTTTATTCAGGATTCTGTAACAAAAATGACAGAGGGCTCCATCAGCGATGAGACAAAGTAACACAAAGCCCAACTGAGTAATTTTTTCAAAAAGCTAGATGTATTTGATGGTGGTGTTTTGGAGTGATGGTCAAAAAGTCGTAATTGTTCAGATATAAAATAGCAAGAATTTGGTCAGAGTTTTGGTGTTAGGAACAAAGAGAGAAGTATGGTAGGAGGAAGTGTTAAGAACTGGGGTTAACATTTTGAGAAAGATTGGCAAATACTTTTTAGATGCTGCGTCCTTCATGAGACCGACAGAGTTAGTTTGTCCTACTGCAGTAGCAGTTCAGATTTCTGAAACAAAATAGGACGGGACGTTGGTACTCGGGGCCCTCTTGAGAAGGCATAAGGAAAAATTGCCGTGATGTATTACCCAACCAGTGAGAGATGAATAAAACATGTGTTCCCAATAAGATTAACTTTTAAATTGTATTGAAGTCCACTGGACAAGAAGAAATAATGTATGCTTTAGATAAAAGTGCTTGGTATGAATTTAAGACACATAAGAGTTTTACAAAACCAAGCGCCCTACTAAAACAGATTGACTTTAAAAGGACCAGCCAGTGTATTTTAAAATGAAAGATTATGAATTGATTACTTCCGTTTTGCCACAGATTCTGCTTGATTTGAACCTACACTTTATTGTTTTTCAGTTTTTATTTTGAAATCATTTTAGACATACAGAATATTGCAAAAATAGTCCACAGGGCTCCTGAATACCCTTCACCCAGCTTTCCCCTATGTTAATATCTTACATAAGCATAGAGTAAGTATCAAAACTAGGAAATTAACATTGGCATAATACCATTAACTAAACTATAGCTTTTATTAAAATGTCATCAGTTTTTCCGCTAAGGTCCTTTTTCTGTTGCAGGACTCAATCTGTAATTTCATGTTGCATTTAGTTGTTATGTCTCCTTAGTCTCCTCCCAGTACCTGTCTTTCCTTGTCTTTTATGATCTTGACATTTTTGAAGAGTACTAGTCAGGTATTTTGTAAAATATCTCCCAGTTTTGGTTTTCTAATGTTTTCTTTTGCTTAGATTGAGATTATGCATTTTTGGTAAGAATACTGTAAGAAGGGAGGCTCTGCCCTTCTCAGGATATCATATTAGGGGTACATAACATTAATATGTTTTATTACTGTTGATGTTAACCTTGTCTGATGGGTTTCCCCACTGTAAATTTACTATTTCTCCATTGTAACTTATAAATGTCTTAGAGGAAATATTGTGAAACTATGCGACTATCCTGTTTATCCTTCAACTTTAGTCTATTAATTTTAATATCCATTGGTGTATCTTGCTTGTAACAGTTATATAGTGTGGTGTTTGTCTAATGATAATTTTATATTTTCCTCATTTATTCTCCATTTATTAATTGAAATTCTTCTAGGAGGGAAAAATGTCCCTTCTCCCTTATTTATTTATTTATTTATTCATTCATTCATTTATTCAATTATTTATTTGTATCAGTATAGGCTCATGGATATTTATTTTATTCTCTGGGTTATAATCTAACATTATTGTTTTTACTTTGTTACTGGAATTGTTCTAGCGTTGGCCGTTAGGAAATATTTTAGGTGGACTCTTGCCCTTTCTAAACGCTTTTTTGGGCACTCCCTTTCTGTCACCACAAGATGTTTCAGCCTCCTCTTGTGTTTTACCTGCCCTAACCCTGGAATCAACTACTTCTACATGGAACCCCAGTTCCCTTTATTGGAGAATAATATTTAGAAACCAAGCCCTCAGAACTAGGTGTGTTCACTGCTACTGGAATGTCATTAGTTCTGGGCCCTCTCAGCAAACAGGACTGGGAAATACAATATATATGTATACTAACCCATACACACACACACACACACACACATACATTTCTTCTGTGTCTATCAATATGTGTATTAAAATCCATGAGTTCACACTAATATACCCAATTCCAGTGCAACAACACAGGGGTCATGCTATCCCTCCTTGTTCCTTATTTGTAAGTTATTTCTGTATCTATATGTGTATATATTAATCATGAGTTGATAATAATAACTTCTCCCCTAACCGAGCAACCACAGGTTCCAGCGTAGCTTTCCCTTCTTGCTTGTCTAAAACTTCTTTCTCTGACAATGAGAAACCTGAAGCTTATTATCTAAAATATATTTATATATTCAATTTTAGTATATAGTAGTTTCAGAATTCCTAATCCATATAGCTATGGAAACAAATGTACTATCTAGAGTATAATATTTGTGTGGTTATTTTTGTTTTTAGCCTTATTAGCCAAAATATTGGTTTTCAAAGTTACTTAGGTTAGTTCTTTTCTTCTCTTTCCCCTTCAGTGTGATTATTGTCAGTGACACTCTAATTAGATTTCCCCAGTGCTTATGGGTATAACTGAGACACAGGAAAAATCTACCTGCCATACTTCTCAGGCTTTTACATAGACTTGGCTGGAGACTGGATGGTCCTCTGGTAAACGTCATGGGAGTAAGTAGCAGGCCCTCTGGGCTCAGTCTCTTGGTCCCAGTCCACATGCCTAGCCTGGCCCTAAAGCAGCCTGAGGCTGCCCTTGGGTAATGAAACTTGGATACTCAGCAGCCTAAATATGACCACAGGATAAAAGGGGGGAAGTGCCTAGCTGGCTTTGCAGGGAGCGGCTAAATAACAGGAAGCTCTTGTCAGCACCCTCAGAATGTTCGCTGGCACAAACCCAGCGGCTGGCTCTGTGGAGTATTTGCAAGAAGACTTGAATATTTCTAGGAGTTGCTTGAGTTCGGGCTCTTTTAATTTCTATATCTTTTGTGCTTTGACTCTGGATTGTATTTGCTCCTCCACATAACCTCTTAACATTGCTTTAGGGCCACGTTTTTTAGTAGAAAACTGAGAGAAACAGAGCAGGCTCTCATTAAAGCACAAGTTCAGGTGCAGCGCTATTCGTGCATCTTTCCCACACATTTCTTTTCTAGGTCTCTTTGTTTTATCAAAAAACCTATTTTTTATAGAAATTTTCTACTTCTGGCCTATCTTATTTTTTTTTTTTCTTTGATCTTGCAGTGAAATCTCTTGGGGAGATTCAGCAATCTACATGTCATTGCTAATTAACAGAAACAAGGGATTAACTATGAAATTCTTATACCATTTGGAAAACGGCCTTTGTAGTTTTGCACCCTATTCTGAAATACATTTCATGTTTTCTTAATAAGATAAGAAAGTCTGTGATCTCTCCTGCTTGTGAAAGCTAAGAACAATGAAAGATGGACTGCCACTAATCTAAATCTTTAGCCTACGGGGGAAACAAAATTGCTTATTTGGCTGGGTTTTTTTGTTAGAGAGTAAGATAATAATGACCCAAAGGAATCATTGTTACTGTTATTTTTGTGACATTATGTATTCCAAAAGGCCACCCCCAACGAAACCCAGGGATCATGGGCATATATGGAAAAGCCTAGATTTTTTTCTGACAAGATAATGAAAACTGTGTTTAAGTATCTTATTTATATACCATGATTCCTTCCCAAAGATCTTAGTTTTATCAGAACTGCCTACACACCACTGAAACAAAACAATTTCTGAACTGAAACTTAGCAGCCATCCTCTCAGCAATGTTGTCTGTTTGGGGAAAGAAATGAAAGAAATGCCTCTTTACAAATAAAATTTCAGGAAGAGAAATGTCAGGCACATAGGTGGAGAATATTGGGATCCACGTAACTCCCCTCTAAGTTTATTGCCAAGGACCATGTGTGGTGTACAATTTAGGATTTAAAGCATTATTGTATGTTACTTAATATAGCCAACTCTCTGGAAAATTTCCAAGTAAAATTTAAAGATTGGTAAGGAAGTTGTTTATTTTGTTATTATATTCTTCCTTACTGTCACCCTACAAGTAACCCAGATTTCTTATTCTCACAGAAGGAACAATGAGATCAAGTTTCCAAAACATTGCACAGGTGTTTTGCTTTTCAAACATAAAAAAGCCTTTTTTTGGGATCCCACAGTTTCCATTTATGTATATATGATTCTTTTTTTCTTTGGGAAAAAGCTACTTAAATTCTGCTCTTAAGAAACTATGATAACCTTTGGCATAAATAAAATCTATTCTCCAAACTTGTACAGAGTGGAATCTTTTTCCCCTAAACACTATACATTTCAGGTAAATATTTATAAGGATCTTGAGAACCATATGGGAGAACAAAATGACATCCCATCATTGTCTTACTGTCAGACTCCCATGGAGGTAAATCGACAATTTGTCTAATATATTCTGAGATAAGCTGTTCTGAGATACTTTTGGCATAGTTTGTGTGTGTGTGCGGCTGGGGGTGGGGAGAGTGGGCAGGGGATGGGCATTCGTAGAGTGGAGAAGAAGGTCTAGAAGGGGAAGAAAGGTGATAGGCAGCAGTAGGACTGGCTTTCCTCTTAAAAAAAAATGAAGTCATGAAAACCGGTCCAGCCTATGTTGGGAAAGGAGCCCTATCTTAATGAATAGTCAGGTTATAGCTGTGTTACGGTTATTCTTCCTGAAAAGATCCCAGAGAGTTTTACTGGTTAAGAGTTTAATGTATGGCAAGACGAAGCAATTGCTCTCTAAAATTCTACGTCTAGAGAGAAGTAGAATTAGCTAATTACGGCAGAGTTATTGATTGAAACTTCTTAAGAGAGTTAAGAAGAATTTACAAAATGTCCTTATGTTAGCAATACATATTGATATTTTTATGGGTGAAATGATGTGAGATGTCTGGGATTTATTTTTAAATACTTCAGGAAAAAAAGTAGGTGGAGGAGAGGTGAAACATGATTAGCAAAATGTTGATAATTCTTGAAGCTGAGTGAGCGGTTTCTTCTTCTGTTCTACTTTTGGGTGTATTAGTTAAATGTCTGTGATTAACATTTTTTTAAGTTTAAAAAAGGAGATAATTTAAATACTGAGGTAAAATGAGCATCACATCTGCCA